GTTGGGACACGCAGTCATTTGAGCACGGATGACCCAGCAGGAAGCACTCAGCCTTTGGGAAACGCCGACGTACAGCCAAGCACGCAATGGGTGCCTGCCTTTTGGGGTCACCCGTGCCATGACAGCGATAGTCAGAGCCCGTCCCTGCGCTGCCCTGGGGGTGACCATCAGCACTGCGGGGGGTGGCATTGCCACGTGTCCCCAGGGGTGTCCTCAGATGTCCCCATGCCACCCCGGAGCTGCGTCGGGGCTTTCCCGAAGCGCCATCCCATTAACGCGCCGTTCGTGGGAGAAGAGCTCAATTTTTCCCATTTAACATTTCATGGATAATTAATTATTCTTCATCTTCCCGGCGCAGAGCAGAAGCAGGTACTGCTGTTCAAAGGCTGGGCGCCGGCGGAAAAGCCAGCCGAAACCCCAGGAAATCAGAGCATTTATTCCTGGCATCAAAGCGAGGGCGGCGCACCGCGGTAATGGGGCCGCGCTGCGGTAATGGGGCCGTGCAGCCCCAGGCGCTCGCAGCGCAGTGAGCACCGGGCGAGGGCTCCCACCTCACGTCTCCATAAAGAATGGCATTCAGCGCTTCCTAATCGTGACCATTAGTCGGTAAATAATGCCTTACGCATCCTTCTATTCGAAATGAATTCCCCTCGTTAGCGGGCGCGCTGCACAGGGTGCCCATAGAAACCCGACGGCAGCACCCGTCCCCAAATCCCACCCCAAATCCACATGCTTCCTCAATCTCCCATCCCACGGGGCGGTGTGGGCACCCGGCCGTCGATCACTGCTATCTCCCAACAGGGAGAAAAAAAAGGGAGATGGCAGCCAAATAGTTTATGGGCCGTAAATTACACTGGAGGGAAAAAAAAACTGTTTTTCTGTGCTCCGGAGGACTCTGCCCTGTCCCTCCCCCTTGGCTCCGCTCCCAGCTGCAGGAGGACAGGATGGGGACAGACATGGCTGCTCCAGGACAGCCCGGCTGCACTTCCTATGATGCCATCGTCATCGGGGCCGGCATCCAGGGCTCCTTTGCCGCGTACCACCTGGCCCAGCGTCGCAGGGACACACTGCTGCTGGAGCAGGTACTGATGTCCCCAACCTTGCCACCTCCCTGGCCCCAATGCTGTGCCCCCAGCCCTGATGTAGCAGGACAGGGACCTGGCTGCCCTCTGCCCAGGCATCTGACACTCCATGGTGTTCCAGCGCCAGGACGCTGTGTCCTTTAGTGCCAGGAGCCCTGTGCCCCCAGTGCCAGGGTTCAGGTGTACCCAGTGCCAACAGCCCAATGTTCCCACTGCCAGGACCCCCATGTCCCCATTACCCTGATCTCGTTATTGTCAGTGCCAGCATCCCAGTGTCACCAGTGCCCCAGTACCAACACTCTACTGTCCCCAAAGCCAAAACCCTAGCGTCCCCAGTGCCAGCAGTCCAATATCCCCATTGCCAGTGGTCCAGGTGTCCTCATTTTCAACACCCTACTGTCCCCAATACCAGCACCCCACTGTCCCCAGTTCCAAGACCTCCACATCCCCAGATCCAAAATCCTCCTGTCCCCATTGCCAGGACCCCAAGCCTTGTGGGGCTGGGGGACACCTGGAGGCTGCAGCCACCCCCACGTTCCCATTCCCCACAGTTCTTCCTGCCCCACTCACGGGGCAGCTCACACGGGCAGAGCCGCATCACACGCAGCGCGTACCCAGAGGAGCATTATGCCCACATGATGCCCCACAGCTTCCGCCTCTGGCAGCAGCTGGAGGACGAGGCAGGCATTCTGCTCTACAGGTGATGGGAACGGGGACCCCGCACTGGGCACTGCCCTTCCCTGGGAATGGGGCTGGGGCTGTGGGCAGGCAGCTGCGGTTATTTATGGGGCTCTTTAAGGGAAGAACCATTAAGGAAATAAGCGTGTAAACGATTCCTGCAGCGGGGTTGGGGCTAACGGGTCATCCATCAACCCCAGCATCGTCCAAGCACTGAGCCTCCGCTTCCCCAACCAAGGGGGTGGCATGAGAGGGGACATGGGAAATGTGGGATAGGGGATGTGTGATAGGGGATAGGGGATGAGGGATAGGGGATGTGGGAAATGGGATAGGGGATGTGGGATAGGGGATAGGGGATAGGGGATAGGGGATATGGGATAGGGGATAAGGGATGTGGGATATGGGATAGGGGATTTGGGACAGGAAGTAGACAATGGGGGACAAGGAACATGGGATTAAGGATACGGGTTGAGGGATGGGACATGGGACAAGAGACACGAGATATGGGATATAGGACATGGGAAATGGGACACGGAACAAGGGACATGGGTGCCACTGATGTGGCTGCTGGGTGCAGGCGGACAGGGCTGGTGGTGCTGGGCCCACCAGGTGACCCCAAGCTGGAGGGCTGCCGGCACAGCCTGGGGCCCGATGCCGTCCTCCATGCGGTGACACTGGCGCAGCGTTTCCCTGGGCTCCGTCCCCGTCCCGGCGAGGCGGCCCTGTGGGACAGCAGTGGAGGTGTGCTGCTGGCAGACCGGGCGCTGCGGGCGGTGCAGGTGGGTGCCGACGCAGGGACAGGGATGGGGGACACGGAAGGTGTTCCATCCCCATCCCTTCATCCCTTCCTGCTCACACAGGACGCGTTTCGTCGGCGCGGGGGCACAGTGCGTGATGGGGAGAAGGTGCTGCGCATCGATCCCGGAGCAGTGATCACTGTCACCACGGCTGCTGGGCTGTACCGAGCTCCCCGGCTCATCATCGCCGCCGGCGCGTGGACCAACGCCGTGGTGGCACCGCTGGGCCTCCGCCTGCCGCTGCAGGTAAGGGCTGGTGGCCGCAGGTGGTGGCACGGCCACGGGCACAGCTGACGTGCAGCCCCCAGCCCCTGCGCATCGACGTGTGCTACTGGAGGGAGAAGGAGCCCGGCAGCGGCGGCGCGGTCACCCCCTGCTTCATGGCCACGGGGCTGCCCTACGCTCCCCATGGGATATATGGGCTGCCGGCCCTCGAGTATCCCGGCCTGGTCAAGGTGAGTGTGGCACAGTGGTGGTGGCGCCGCGGTGTCCCTTCTGTTTGCTCCCACTGAGCGCTGTCCTCAGGTGTGCTACCACCACGGCAGCCCCACTGATCCTGAGGAGCGGGACCGGACCCCCCCAGGCTCCCCCCATCCCCACATCGCCCTCCTGAGCAACTTCATCAGCAGTTACCTGCCTGGGCTGGAGCCGCAGCCGGCTGTGCTGGAGAGCTGCCTCTACACGGTGAGACCCAGGTCCCCATTCCCCCACAGTGGGTCCTGGCTGTGCCCCAAGCCCTGCTCCTTCACCCCACCGCTCCCCCAGAACACTCCGGATGGAGACTTCATCCTGGACCAGCACCCCAAGTACAGCAATATCATCATCGGGGCCGGCTTCTCGGGTAGGTCCTGGCCCCCCTGGGGGTACCTTGGGCATGGCTGCACCCCCAGCCCTCTCTTCCCTGCAGGCCATGGATTCAAACTGGCCCCAGTGGTGGGGCAGCTGCTGTGCGAGCTGAGCCTGGGTGAGGAACCATCCCACTGCATGGCTCCATTCGCCATCAGCCGCTTCCCAGGTGTGCTCCGTGCTGCTCTGTAGGTGCAGTGTCACAGCTGTGCCCACGCAGCATCACACTGCCCTGTAGTGATCCCTGCATCCCAAAGTACCACCGCCCCCAGCTCCTTGCATCCTAATGTTCTCAAAGCCTGCCAGCCTGGTGCCCTGCTTCCCTCCATCACCTGGCACCTCAGCACCCCTGCAGCTGCACCCCCACATCCCAGTATCCCCAGTATCCTTGTTCCCTGTGGTTCTGCATCCTGGCATCCTTATACCCTGCTCCCCTACATCCCACCATCCCAGTGCTCTGCTCCGACCCATCCTCACATCCCAACACTCCCGCATCCCTTTATCCTGGTTCCCTGCCCTCCTGCTTCCTCACATCTGTATCCTCCCATCCCAGCACCATCCTTATATCTCGATCCCCTGCATCCTCACATCCTGCCACCCCCACACATGGCTCCCCTGCTTTCCCACCGCTCCACACTGTGTGCCAGCCCAGCTCTGCCAAGCAGCCGCTCCCTGGAAGCACACGAAGGCGCTTTGCCAGCGCCATGGAGCCGGAGCAGCGCGGGGAGGCACACTCGCTTAGGAGTCAAGTTAAATGTTTTAATGTTAAATGTGCCATTTTATTATCATTAGATTGCTCCCACTTAATGAAAGCGCATTAGCGCAGCGTAGCTTTAATGGCGGCGAGCGCCGAGCTCGGCCCATTTGTTTAGAGATGGCAGGGAGAGGGGTGGGAACTGCCTGTTTTGTGGGGGCTGGGGGCTGCGAGGAGCCCCCATGGAGCCAGCAGCTGGCAGCAAGCAGAGCCCCCCTATGGGAACAGGGATGGCACCGGGCTCATCGCTCCGTGCGCCCCATTGTCTTGCTGCAGCCCTGCACACCACAAAAAACCCACCCTCCAAAACCAATCCCCCCCTACCCCAAAACGGGGCACGCAGAGCAGGCGTCACCAGCCAGAAATGACGTTTCTTTATTTTCGGATGGAAAGGAAATGGGGGAGGAAGGGCTGCACAGCTGTAGTGCAAAACAACCGGTGGGGTGGGGGGCAATAGGGGAGGCGACAGCCCATGGGGGACCCCGTCCCCACGTCCCCTTTGCGGCTGTGGGGCGGCTGGCCCCGAGGCCTGGCCAGAGACGTCTTTGGCTCAACTAAATGGGGATGAAGAACATGGAGAGGGGTGTCCAGGGGGTATTTTAACTTATAAAATAAGGAGACAGCAGGCACTGAGGAGGAACCGATGGAGCCGCCGAGGACAGATGGGGTGGGAGGGGTGGGCTGCCCCCCCTGCACGAGGGATGGGGACGGCAGTGTGTTCCTCCCCTTTTCTTCACCGTGCAAAAAAGAAACAGTGGCTGCCCGGGGGGGGGGGTTCCCGAGGAGCCCAGCATGTCGGGGCCATGGGAAGGGTGGCGGGGGCTACGCGGGGGTCTCGGCGGTGCGGCTCTCCGCCTCGCCATCGCTGGTGGGGCTGTGGGATGAGCGCTCCGTGCTTTCTGTGGCATCCAGCTCCTCGTCCCATCGGTCATAGGAGAAGGGTTTCCGGCAGCTCGGGGGGCTGTGGGGAGAAAAAGGGGTTAGGTGCTGAACTGCTGTCCTGACGCATCGAGGCTGCGTTGTCTCCTTGCTTGTGAGAAATGGGGCCGCGGCCCTCCTGCTGGGTGCAGAGCAGCACTGAGTGGTGGCAGTGCCAAAAAACATTGGGTTTGGGCTCAAATGGGTGACTGGCCATGGCTGCACGTCCTGGATGGAGATGCGTCCCAGCCCTGAGCCAGTGCCCCGCAATGTGACAGCCCGGCCAAGGCTGGGATGGTGATCCAACAGCATTCCCAAGGGATTTTTCCTCCTCCTCCAGCCCTTCTCCTACAGAAGCCATAGGAAGCAACCGAACCCACTCACCACTTACTGCCAGGATGCCAGAGAGCTGACTGCAGCCCCCTTCCCACACAGATGGGGTGCAGGACTGGAGTAACCACTCCAATAACCATCCGACCCCATCTACTCACCCATGTCATCCCACATCCGCACCCCACACCGGGTGCTGTTAGTACCACTGCTCCTCCCGGAGCCGCAGCCCCATCTGCCCACCCCAAACTTCCATCAGAGATCCATGCAGCCACTCCAGGACGGGATTAGCACTTCTCAGAGTCCAACCCCACGGCACAAGGACGGAGCAGCATTCCCACCACCGTGTGGCCTCAGCACGGATGCTCGGAACGGTGCCTGGGCGCGGTTAGGGGTTAGTGGCACACTCGGGTCATGCTGCAGGCACACACCGCTCCCACCTCCTGCCTCAGTCGCTCTCAGGCCGGTACAGGTACTTCATCATCAGGCTGTCCACCTGCTTCTTGCGCTTCTTCTCCTCCTTCCTGGCCCGGTCGGGGCGCACCGGCTCCTCCCCCCCGGCCGCCCGCGGGCCCTTCTTCACACTGGAGGTGCTCCGGTAGGAGACGGTGGAACCGGAGGAGGAATCGGAGGAGGAATCTGAGCCCGACTCGGAGGATGACTTTTTCTTCTTCTTTTTGGATTTCTTTTTGGATTTCTTGGATTTCTTCTTAGCGCTCTTCCTCTTGCGCTCCTCCTCTTCCTCCGAGGAGGAGGACGACTCCGAGGAAGAGCTGCTGCGGCGGCGGCCGGAGCGCCGGGATGGACGCGACACCTCGAGGGCGGACGCGGAGCGGCGGAGGCTGCCGGGGCGGTCGGCGGCACCCAGCGGCGCCGCGCTGCGCACGCTGCGCACACTGCGGACGCTGCGCCCGTCGTCCCCGGAGTCGGGGCTGGAGAGACCCCCGGCCCGCGGAGAGCGGTAGCTCAGCACCTCCTGGATGGCAGCCTCCAGGTCGGGGTCGAGGTAGGAGCGGTGCCCCACCGGGCGGGCGTCGCCGGGGGGACCGTCCTCGGAGGCGGCGCTGCGGGGTCGCGGGGGCACGGAGAAGCTGCGGCCCAGCGGGGGCTGCCCGCGGGATGCTTCATCCGCCTCATCCAGGAGGCTGCGGGCGAGCGAAAGCCGCGAATCGGGGCGACCGTCGGCACCGCTGCGCCGGCTCCGCAGGCTGCCGGGGCTGGAGAGGGCGAAGCTCAGCACCGAGCACGCCTCGTCCCCTTCGTCTCCATCCTCCGGCGCGCGCCACGAGGCCGACGAGGCTCTGCTCACCGGCGCGGAGGCGACGGAGCCCTTCTCCCCATCGCCAGCCGACAGCGACCAGCGCTTGCCCAGCCCCTGCCGAGCGCGGCCGCTGGCGTCGGCGAAGGCGCGGGCGATGACGGCCGCCCGGTCCTCGTGCTCTGCGCCCCGCGCCCGGCGGGCAGCGCGCTCCGGGGAGGCCGCCCGTTCGCTCAGAGCGCTGAACAGCGTCTGCTCGTCCCCGCGGCCGCCTATGGAGTCCTTCAGGCTCGGCCGCTTCCTATAGCTCAGGCTGCTCAACACCGACACCGGGCGCTCTTCGCCCTCGGGGACATCCGTGGGAGCCGACCTGGGTGCGGGCACGGAGCGCACCGGGGGGGGGATGGGAGAGAAAGGAGTGAGAGCGGGGAACGCGCCGGCACACGGCGGAATTATCGGCGTCAGCGAAAAGCTGCTCCATGCAAATGCGGGCATTGTTCCACCCCGTCACTTTGATTCGCCTTTAAAGTGCTCCGTTCAATTTATCTCACTGTCAGCTACCTGCAGCCGCCGCCTTTGATTCCCGACTTCAGAAAACTGGAATTATCTCCAATAACAAAATGTTTTACATCTGTGCCGCTGAATAAATTAAACCAATTAAGAGAAAACAGCTCAGATCTTTCCCCCTGCTAGATAGAAGGCGGGAGAGCCCCCCGGGATGCCTGAAACCCTGCCAGAAAATCGGGTTTGGATGAAAGCAATCTGCGCTCATCAGGAGAGAGCTCTCCCTGATGGCTGTGGGACATGAGTGGGGCCGTGTGGTCCCCAGGAGGGCTACAGCACTGGGATGGTGAAGTGGGGATGGAGGTGTGATGGAGGGATGTGGGATGATGGAGGGATGCAGGATGATGGAGGAATGTGGGATGATGGAGGGATGTGGGATGATGGAGGGATGCAGGATGATGGAGGGATGTGGGATGATGGAGGGATGCAGGATGATGGAGGGATGCAGGATGATGGAGGGATGTGGGATGATGGAGGGATGTGGGATGATGGAGGGATGTGGGATGATGGAGGGATGCAGGATGATGGAGGGATGAGGGATGATGGAGGGATGTGGGATGATGGAGGGATGTGGGATGATGGAGGGATGTGGGATGATGGAGGGATGTGGGATGATGGAGGGATGCGGGATGATGGAGGGATGTGGGATGATGGAGGGACGCAGGATGATGGAGGGATGTGGTAGAGCTGCCAGAGAGAAAGGATGGAGTCCATCACTGCTACCCATTTGAGGAGGCTGCACACAGAGCTGGGATGCCGGGGGCGCAGGGATATCCCTAAGTGTGTGTAGAGCTGTGGATGTGCCAGCACTCAGGCACGTGTCCCCAGTGGAGACTGAGCTGCTCCCCAGATTCACCCTTTCCCGACACCATGCGCAGTGCCCAGCTGTAGCCACGCCGCCAGCACCCAGCCCTGCACCCACCTGCTGCTGCCCTTCAGGCTGCCATCATCTGAGAGCGCTTTGGAGGAGCCTTTGTTCTTGGACAGCCACGACTTCACTCCATCCACGCGATCCTCCAGCTCTGAGTCCACGTCCGAGTCACCGTCGCTGGTGGGAGAAAGGCAGCGATGAGCACCTGGGATGTGGTGCAGGGACGTGTGGCATCGTGCCACCCATCCCCGTCCCTCTGCCCCACTCCATCTCAGGACACCGCATGCTCTGCGACCCCACAGCCCCAAAACCACCCCCAGAAGGATGCGGGGCCACCGGGCTCAGCGCAGCCCTGGCTGTGCACGGCCCTATAGCCAGGAAATCAACCACGAGGTGGAGAACCACGCGGGGCACGGCTCCAGAAACACGGGGGATGCCGAGCTCACAGAGAGGAAATAAGTGGGTTCGTTTTATAGGCTGCCACCGAGTGCAGAATTACCGCGAGGCAGAGCTACGTTGATGTCCCTGGGTAAACAGGAGTTTAGCAGGCAGAACAGAAACGACTCCGGCACGGCGGGCGCACGGACGGATTTACGGCCCCACCGTGACGGAGAGCCCCTGATTTACGGGCGGACATAAAAAAAGCCCTATCTGCCTTAAAACATCTAATTTATAACGGCCGCTGGTAACCGTATTGATCGCCTTTAGCGCGAAGGTGCCGTCTGCATTGCAAAATCCATTCCTCCACGTTGAGAGCATCCCGCTGTAAATCTCTGCTCACGCCGGCCGCGCGCTGCTCTCATTAGCGAGATGGCGGCGCCTATCAGAAATCGAAGCACCGCGTCCCCCCCTGACCCCGCCGGGCTCCCACATCCTAAATGGCAGCTGGGGATGGGCTGGGCAGTGCCATCCTAAAGGGCCGCTCCGTCTGCACGGCCACACGCTCAGCCTGAGCGGGACGGGCTGTTATGGCTCCTATATAGGAATCCTTGTTGCATTCAAAGCAACGAGCTGCGCTCCATCACACACGTCTCCCTCCCCTGCAATATATCCGGGCTTCAAAAATAAATGCAATAAAATACCTTTCCCTCCTCTCCCCCCCCGCCCCCCCAAAATAAAGCCCCATAAAACAAACTCTGGGGTGCTGTTAGCTCATGCGAAACTGGGCCAGCAGCATGCAGGGGCCCCGGCCCCAGGGGGGTGAGCAGGGTTAGGGGATGGGGGAGAAGGAAAGAGGAGGTCCTCACAGTTTACTCTTTCTTTTCTGATACTTTGCCACCATGTCCTGCAAACTGGGAGGGGGTGGGTGGGGGAGAAACATAACAGAATGAAATCAAATGAAATTAAAATTGAAAAAAAGAAGGAAACCAAGTCGGGCAGGGCGATGAATGGAGAACAAATCAAAAGGGATGAGATCTGATGAGATGGGGAGGGGAAAGGTTTGGCTGCTCTGAGCCCATCTGCAGGGCTGGGCTGGTTTCCAGCGCCCCGAGACCCCACACTGCCCCTGATCCTGGGGTCCCTCAGATGTCCTCAGGATTTGTGGAGATGTGGCAGCAGGTGAAGCTGCACCAGGCTGCGGGTGAAGGGAGGGGTGGGCAGGTGGGTGGGTGCACAGTGCACAGATGGGTGGATGCATGGGTGCAAAGATGGATGGATGGGTGGGAGGGTGAATGGATGGATGGATGCATGAATGGATGGATGGGTGCAAGGATGGATGGATGGATGGATGGATGGATGGATGGATGGATGGATGGATGGATGGATCAATGGGTGCACGAATGGATGGATGCATGCATCGATGGGTGGAAGGATGGGTGGGTGAAAGGATGGATGGATGCATGGGTGCAATGATGAATACATGGATGGATGGATGGATGGATGGATGCAATGGGTGCACGGGTGGATGGACAGATGGATGGGCAGCATCCTGCCAGGACTGGGCAGAACCAAGGCCCCCCTTGGTGTTTCAGAAGTGGCAAGGAGAAGCAGTGAGCCCAGGTGACGTGCCCCATGCAGGAGCCAGCTCCGGGCACACTCACCTGTTGATGAGGTCCTCATTGCTGTCGCTCTCCATCTCATCCTCGATGGCAGCCTGCAGGTCCCCGATGCGCTTGAAGGCCAGCTTCAGGTCTGACTGCAGGCTCTGGTTGGCAGCTTCCAGGCTCTCCAGGTCCATCTCCTGCGGGGAGAGTGGGGTGAGCCTGGGCTGTGGGGAAGAGGAATCCCAATTTGTGGGGGCTCAGCAGTGATGCCCTCACCAGCTCGTGCTTCTTGCGGCTGGCCTCCGCCTCCTTCTTGGCCAGCTCGCCCATCTCCTCCTTGACATCACGGAGCTGCCGCTGCAGCCTTTTGTTCTGCTCCTTCTCCCTGTTCTCGGCAGCTGCTCGCTGGTCCCGCTCCTCCGTCAGCTTCTCCATGTTCTCCTTCAGCCGCGTGGCCAGGCTCTGCGGAGCAGCAAGCGTTCTCCCTGTGCTCCATCCACCCATACACACACGCATCCATTCACACGTGCATCCATGCATTCACCCCCCACCTGGCAGTAACACCCACCCCCTGTGGTCCTCACACCAGGAAAGATCCCAGCCCCATGAATTTACATGAGGGGATAGGAAAGAGGTGGGGGGGGTGATGAGAAACCACCCCCCTGGGGCCAGGGAAGGGGTAGAACGATTGCAGGAGCTTTGGTGAATTGGAAAAATAGATTTAACTTTGTGTGAAGTAATTACAGCATGTAATGTAGGGAAAAAATAGCTTCCATTCTCTGCCAGCCGCCGAGCCAGCCGCTGCATATTTATGGCCCCGGCAGAGAGAGCGGGGAGGGAAATAACAGCTAGGAAAATATTAAGAGGAGAGCTAAGCTGCTCAGTTCCCCCGGCAGAGAGCTGCAAAGGCAGAATATAAAGCAGGCTGCGTTTAGTGGGGTTGGGAGAGTCTATAATTTCACTAAGTCGATGCGGGGAAATAGCAGCACTTTGCCAGGCTGGGTGGTGGATTACGGTTATCAGCGCCCGCGGGAGCAGCGCTGTGCAGCACGGGGGGCCCAGGACGGTGGTGGTCACAGCACTGTGACACTGCTGTGGGGACTGAGCATGGGTCTGTAAGGGAGATGACAGTGCCCACCTCCAGGCGCTTGACTTGTGTCCGCTCAAACTCCAGCCTGGTCTCCAGCTCACGGATCTTGGCCTCCTGCCTGCTCACCAGTGACTTGTCCACCATGGACTGCTCCAGGAACTCCAGCTGGCTCTGCAGCCCTTGCAGCTGTGGGGAGGCAGCCTCAGCACCAGCATCCTGCCCTCCCCACTCTGCCCCGCTCTGGGGACGGCCCCCATGATGCTGGGGGACCCATAACGTTTTTAGGTGCTCCCACCCCAGCTCGGCTCCTCACCTTCTCCTGCAGCTCCTGCTTCTCCTTGCTGACCTCCTCCAGCTGTGCCTGGAGGTCGTTCATCTGTGCCAGGTCACGGGATGCCTGCAAGACGAGCGGGGCTGTTAGCGCGGCGGGCAGGGGAGTGGTGTTAAGGGCTGTGGATGTCCATCCTCACCTGGGCCACTGCTGCTTTGTGCTTCTTCATCAACTCATTCATGTCCTCCTGATCTTCCTCCAGGCGGTTCTGCACCTCATTCTTCTCCCGCTGCAGCCGGCTCAGCTGCTCTTCCAGCTGGGGGGAAAGAACATCACCACTGCACCACGCACCTCACCCTGTCCAGCTGAGCCCCCAGGCAAGGGAGCACAGCATGGGCAGGGTTCTCCCCATGGGCATGTCCCCCTCTGAGTGGGAGAACTCCCGAAATGCCCTACCGCTGCCTTGGCTTTGGAGAGGTCATCAATCTGCAGGTGAAGGTCTTCAATCTCCACCTCCATGGACTTGCGGGCTTTGACAGCAGCTGCGCAGGTGAACTCGGACTCCTCGAGCTGCAGGAGCACAGCTCAGCACCCAGCCAGGGGGCAATGGGACACCCCCAGCCTCTCGGGGCCACGCACCTGGTTCTTGAGCTGGGCGATCTCCCTCTTGCTGGGCGCGTTGTTCTTCAGGTGGTCCAGCATGATCTGTGCATCGGCCAGCAGTGCTTTCGTCCTCTTCAGGTCGCGGCGTAGGCGCTTCTCTGTCTCGAAGTCCCTCTGGTTGGCCTGCAGCAGAGGGTCCGTGCCATGCTCTGTGCCACGGCAACCCCCCCACAGGGTGCCCTGGGCCCTACCTGATCACTGACTGCAGACAGTTTGCTCTCCAGCTCCCGCTTTTCTCTCAACACCTTCTGCTTGTCCTCATACTCCTCCTCCAGCTGCATCTCCATCTGCTTCAGCTGTGGCAAGAACCATCACGTCATAGAATCACAGAATTGTAGAACCATAGAACCATCAAATCATAGAATCTAGAACCATAAAATCACAGAGCAGCTGGATTGCAAGCGATTACAGAGCCCACCCAGCCCCAACCCTCTGCTGTGGGCAGATTGCTACTCATGGGGTTGTCCAGTGCCCCATCGTGGCCTCGGGCACCTCCAGGAATGGGGCACCCACAGCTCTGGGCAGTGCCCGTGCTGCAGCCTCACAAATATCTGAGTATAGAAGTTTCTCCCAGCATCCAATCTAAATCTTCCCTCTTTTATAGAAATCGTAGAATCATGATGGTTTGAAAAGAGAACACAGATCATCAAGTCCAACCACTGATCCATCATCACCACGCCCACTACAGCAGGTCACAGCTCACGTCCAGCTTAATGTGACCTTGGGTGAGCTCGGCTGGGGCCATGGCGCCAGCACCCTGTGTGTGCCACCACGTGCCCTGGGGACGCTGATGACCTGCCGGGCCAGACGCGGTGACTCCCTTTTGTGCAATGTGTGCACAATGCCCAGGACCGGTCGGACCTGCCGGGCTGCTGGAGCTGGGCAGCGGGCGTGTGGGATCCGAGCACTGCGTGACCACGGCCCAGCATCTCCCGGGATGTATCCTGGCCCCCATAGTGCAGCAGGGCCACGGGTAAGGCCTACCTTCTTCTGGCACGACTGCCGGATCTCCTCTACCTCCTCGTCGCGGCTCTCCACCTCCTTGGCGTGGGTCTGCCGCAGCCGCTCCATCTCCATCTCAAGGCGCAGCTTGGCCTGAAAAAGGGGGGTCCATCAGAGCCCAGGGGATGTGGGGGCACGGGGACACCGCAGCCTGCTGCCCCGCTCACCCTGAGAACCCCCTGCTCCGGGTCTGCCCGTGCCACCCGCCCCGCCGCAACGTGCCGTGCCATGGCACCAGGGATTCTGGAAACCAGGCCTGACGGCGCGGTGAGGGCGGCCGCCTCCGCGGGCCCATCCCCAGTAATGAGAGCCCTGCGAAACCACCCCGCCCAGAAACCCTCCCCGCCCACCCTACCTGCTCCAGCATCTGGATGGTGCCGGCCTGCTCATCCAGCTCCTCCTCCTGGTCCTTCGCCTTGGCCTCCAGGTCGCGCAGCTGCTTCTTCACCTTGGCGAGAGACGCCTCGTCCTTGGATTCCTGGCAGGAGATGTCCTGCAGCTCTGCCTCCAGCGCCTCCGCCCGCTGCGTCAGCCCGGCGATGTCTGCATCTTTGTCCTGGATGGGGATGGGGACGTGGCGGTGAGACAGCGCTGTGCGCCACGCTGAGCGGAGCGCTGCTGGGTGGGGAACCGCTCACCTCCAGCAGCTGCTTGAGGCCGAACACCTCAGCCACCAGCACGTCCTTCTCACGGCTCAGCTTCTCCCGCTGCAGCCTCTCCCTCTGCGCCTCCTCGTGCGCCTGCGACAGCTCTCCATCAAACCTACACGCGACAGCACGGCACGCTCAGGGACCCCCATCTCCAGCATTTCCCTCCGGCGTCAGCTCCCCGTCCCATCCCTGCAGGGTGTGTGCCTGCAGTTCAGCCTCTGCCAGGATGGGATCAGAGGGGTTTGCTGGGAAATCGCTGCCTCCAGGGCTTGGAAAATTGCCCCGGCTCGGTGACCTGCCTTACGCATCCCGGCGGCTAATCCCCATTTTTCTTTGCGCCGGGTAATAAACAGCTGCATTAGCACAGACTCCAATCCACGGAAATTGAAATTAATTAGATTGGATTCTCTCGCTGTATTTGTGTGCGTGATCATTACCATAATGAGATGAAAGCATCCCCGCTGCTTAATAACGTTAGCAAACTTTGGGGCTGGGAGAGGGGATGGGAAGAGAGCGGAGCTGCGCGGCGTGGCACGAGGGTCCCCGGGCACAGGAAAAGAGTGCTCCCACCCTGAGCATCCCTCACACCCAAAGCAGAGCGAAGGCAGCACTCCCTGTGTGAAGCACCTCAGCCAAGTGGGAGCTGGTGGGGTGCCCAAACCCCAGCTAAAATGGTAAAAGCACTCTGCGAGAGGCTCTGAGGGCGATGTCACCACACCGCTGCCGTGCCGCGCAACCCCACCTGCGTTGCTTCTTCTCCAGGTCGTGGTTGCGGCCCTGCTGCCCCTCCAGGTGCAGCTTGGTGTCCTGCAGCTCGGCCGCCAGCCGCTGGCACTTCTTCTTCAGCTGCTGCAGCGCCCGCTGGCTCTCCTCACCGTCCGCCTGCAGGTCTGCCAGCTGTGGGCAGGGCAGGCAGGGGGTCAGCGCTGCAGGGTGGGCATGGGGGCACGGTGGGGACGGCGGTGCGGAGTGGCACTCACCCTGCGCTCCAGCTGCCTCTTGCCCTGCTGCTCCACCTCCAGCTTGTCCTCCAGCTCCTGCTGCAGCCGCTTCTTGGTGAAGTCGATCTCCCGCACCGCCCGCTCGTATTTCAGCCTCCACTCGCCGCCTGCACGGGGAAATGGGGGCTGAGTGGGGCGATGCTGCACGGGGCAGCCCACGTCGTGCCCCACGCTGAGCCCATGGTGGGACGCTACCTGAGTCATCGTCGTCCAGCTCCCCGTTGAGCTCTGCCGCACGGATGAGCCGAGCCTCCATCACCTCCATCTCCATGGACTCCATCTGCTTCTTCAGAGCATCGTACTTGGCCTGGGGAGGGGACAGGGTGAGCCTCACAGGGACGTGGGGTGGCAGCAGTGGGTGGGGGCACGGTTGGATACCTGCAGGTCCTTCATCTCCTTCTCGGCACGCAGCCTCTCGGCCGTCTCGGCGTCCAGCAGCTGTGAGGCTGACTCGCCCGTGTTGCGTTCGTCTGTCAGCTCCGATGTCAGCTCCGTGATCTGGGGACAGCAGGGATGTGGCAGTGGCAGGGGGGGCACGGCAGCACGCTGCGCCCATCGCAGGGCTGGGACCTACCCTGCTCTCCAGGCGGTCGCTGTTGAGCCGCAGCTCGTTGCGCTCCTTCTCTACTTTCTCAAGTTTGCTCTTCAGCTGCTGGATCTCTTCCTGCAACAGAGCGGTGAGGGAGGGGATGGGGCTGGCAGCACCCCCAGCTCCCCCCGCACGGGGCGGGCAGCATGGGGGCTCCCCCTGCCGAGGGCTGGGCAGGGACTTTCCCAGCACGACTCCAACCCCATAAATGGTACCGAAACGCCTGGCAGCCTTCAGAGGAGAGGGGTCTGTGAGCCTCCAGAGGAGAGGGGATGGGAGCAGGAGGGGACCCTGCAGCCCTCAGTTCAGACACCATCTCACTGGGTCAGGGTGAAAGCTGAGCCAGGCAGTGGCTCTGTGCCAGGTGGGGGCACAGTGTCTGGTTCCCCCCTGTGCACGCCTCTTGGCGCGCGGTTTCATTTCCATTCTCCACGCCTGTAATTGGGCTCTTGCAACAGCCGGCTCTTGGGATACTAATGACATGCTGATTCACAAATTAGGGAGCAATTCGAGCCTGGTGCTGGGGGGCACGGGGTGTCCTGCATCTCACCCAGCATGGGGTCCATTCACCATAGTGTCCTTCATCCACCATGGGGTCCTGTATCCACCATGGCGTCCTGCATTTACCACAGGATTTTGCACCCCACCCACTCCAGGTTCCTACATCCACCATGGGATGGTCATACATCCACCACGGGGTCCCACATCTACCACGGGGTCATGCATCTCACCTACTGTAAGGTCATGCATCCAACACAGGGTCCCACATCCCACCTCACTGCTCTGCCCATCACCAACCCTCCCCCATCCCCGCGGCACGGCGATACCCACGTCCTTGCCACGGATCTGCTCCTCAGTGAGCTGCACCTCGATGAGGGGCCTCACGGTGGTGAAGAGCTTCCACCAGGGCCAGTCCTTCACCCCTTTGTTCTTCTTGATGTTCTTCTGCACGCAGCGGATGGCCAAATCCTGGATCTGCACCGGGGCACGGCGTCAGGTCTGGGATACCACCGGCCGACTGGGATGTGTGGGTGCTCAGCACCCCGGCACACTCCCCTTCATTATCAAGCAGGCTAATTGCCCCTGGCTCATCTATCCAATTGCCTCCAGCACCGAGGTGCTGCAGCGATGCCTATTTTACGCAGCCTTTAATTATAAAGTGGGAGCCGGCACCGCTGCTCCATCCCGGCACCGTGGGGCAGCACCAAGCCCACAGCCCCACAGCCGGCCCCACAGTCGGCCCCACAACTCCCCACAGCTCAGTGGAGGCGGGAGGGGGAGGTGCTGGGCCAGGCGGCAGCAGAAAGGCTGCGCTGCCCATTTTAGGCGAAATTGTGCGCAGAGGAGCGGGGAGGGGAGAAGCACTACGAACCTTCCTCTTCTTGAAGTGCTGCCGTGCCAGGAAGCCCCTGCACGCCGCCTGGAACAGGGTGATGTTCCTGCTGGTCTGCGCATCCCGCTGCTCCTCCAACCTGGCCAGTGAGCCAGCACGGAAAAACACCTGAAGGGGGGAGCGCGGTGAGACGCCAGCATCCCTCCAGTGTCACACCAACGGGAATGGGGTGCTCTCCCTCGTCCCCAGCTCCGTGGCCCTCATCCCAGCGTGGGTGGCCCTGTGTGGGGCTTTTGTTCTGCGAGGAATGGCGTAGGGGGAGCGCACAGCGCTGCCCTTGTGCCAGGCGCCTGCCCTGCCCTGTCCACAGAGAGCAGGGATGTCCCTGCAGGGCTCCTACCCGGCTCAGACCCATGTGATAGCTGCTCTTCTCCAGGTCCAGCGACTCCAGGAGCTCCTCGACTGCCTGCAGGGAAGGAGGAGCATCAGAGTGTGGGACACGGGGTGTGGGATGCGAGATGTGGGGGCACAAGGCTGCGTACCCGCTTCTCATCCATCACGATGTAGTTGCGGCCGTGCTTCTTGGTGAGGTGTGGGGCCAGCACGTCAAAGCGCCGCCGGAACTCAGCAAACACCATATGGTCAGGGTAGCCTGGAGTGGGGAGAGCAGGGCCACGGGGCAGCTATGGGGCAGCCAGAACACCTGGGGGGCGGCTAGGCAAACCCCCGTGCCTTTTCCTTTGTTTGTTCCTTGCACGGAACGAGGCTTTCCTTGGCCGCATTGAACAATTTTGGCCAAGATCTGGGGAGAAAGCAGCCTCGGGGGAGAGCAGAGACACGTGTGTCACCCACAGCCTGGGAGAGCTGCCAGCAGCCGGGCAGCACCGGCGCAGACACCCAAGTAAGGCCATGTGTGTCCCCAGTGTGACAACAGCTGGGGGGAGGACACTGGCAGCAGCACTGCTCCAAGCGAAGCTTGTGCCAAAGGGGATCCCCAGGGGGACCCGAGGAGAACGCAGGGGGATGTGAGCCGCAGGGGGGGCGCTCACCTTGTCGGTACATGCGGAGGGCATCGAGCAGGCGGGAGCCGCGGAGCTGCGCGCGCAGCAGGGGCACATCCAGCTGCATCAGCCCCGCGGGCTCGCAGTGCTCGGCCGGCAGCTCCAGCTCACTGCCGCTCACCCGGCGGCACGGCAGCCCTCGGGGGTCCCCACCGCTCCCCGCCGCCTTGGGTAGGAAGCAGTGCACAAAGTGCAGCTTGGATTTCTTGATGCTGTCGATGAGGGCATCCTATGGGGACAGGAAAGCATGACAAGGGAGGTGCTGTTGGGGTCTCACACCCGCGCCATGGAGCACCCAAAGCAGGGTGACAGGATGCACAAAGCATGGTGGTGGGATCCCCCCAGCCCGGCGTCCCCTGCTCACCACTTGCAGCTTGACCTGGATGCACAGTGATTTCTTCTTGACTGCGGCCACCCCAGTGGTGAAGGTTTTTCGCATGCTGGTGGCCCGGCGCAGGGCCAGCTGTGAGCCCCCCTCCAGCCCTGCCACCGAGCCCGACAGCACCAGCGCCGAGCTGCCGCGCCCTGCAAACAGGCTGCTGATGATCTTCCTGGGGGGTACAAAGGCATCGTCACCCCCAAAACCACCTCCTCCAAACCGTCCCCTGCTCCGCACCCCCAAACTGGGGTCCCCGCTCACTTCTGCGACTCCTGAAGCAGCACGGAGGCGTTCTGGGTGGCTGGGTTGTGCTTGACGTGGTTGAGCCAGCCCGTGGCATCGTAGTGCACCCAGTTGGTGCCCGAGCTGTGGCCCAAGAAGAAGTGCCGGGGTTTGTCGCTGGGCAGCAGCGGGTCATGTCCTGTAGGGACACAAGGCACTGCTGGGCACAGGGACCACAGGTGGCTTGGTCAACACATCCAGGCAGTGTCGGTCCCCATCCTAACCTTTCTTGCTCCCCTCCTGGGGGCCATAGTAGGCCAAGAGCCGCTCCAGCAAGGTGTCCTCGCTGCCACCTGGCTGCAGGGCCTCCTCCTCCAGCAGCCACAGCAGCCCCCGTGCCTCATCAGTGCGTGCCAGTGAGCGGACCTGTGGGTGACACTGCACTTATACCAGAACCTGGATGCCAGAGGGGATGGGGAAGAGTGAGGGGAATCCTGGGCTGCATGCAACACAAGCAGCAAAGCAACTCTGCACCATGTGAGGCAACCCCTGCTTAGCGTGCACCCAGTGAAGAAAGGCAATAGGCAAAATGCAACAACCTTGCAGGGGAGCAAAACAATGCACTCAGGTAAGTGAAAAGCCAGTGTGGCATCAGCACCATCAGCCCCACTTGGTTTCTGCAGCCCCATCCAGTACCAGAGCGCCCTTGGGACTGGTGCACCCCAGGGAGCAAAGCAGCCAGGAATCAAAGCACCTTGGGGATGGGGCACCCCAGGGAGCAGAGCACCCCAAGGACCTGTGCACCTTGGGAACTGGAGCACTCCAGGGATTAAAGCACTCTGGGGACAGGAGCCCAAACTGGTGTGCCCCACAGACCGGAGCATCCCAGCGATTAAAGCACCCTGGCGACCAGACTACCCAAAGGATGGATGCACTCCGGGGACTGGAGCACCCTGAGAACCACCAGAGACCCCACCATCCTCCCTGCAGCCGGCTGCACACATGCAGCCTAACTCTCCCAAGCCTTCAGGAAAGCATCTTATATCACCTTTTCTTCCCCTCATTAGCACTAATGCCTCCAGCTCCTCATCCACGCGACGGGAGCAGGTCTGGGGGATGGAGATGGCCACAGCAAAGCTGGGACCCAGCTGGGATGGTGGCCATGAGGAATGTGGGCTTACCAGTGCCTGGTGGGAGGGCTGGTCTACAGCAGCTACAGAGCCCCAGGAAGTGGGCTCTGTGTCAGCCAGAGCGAGCTCTATGTTTTCCTGGAGAGGACGGACAGAGAAATGGTTAAAGCCTGTGTGACTGCAGACCAGCATTAGGGATGCTCGGGTCTCAGTTCAATCGGATCAAGGCTGAGGGGGTTCCCACTGCCCTGCTGCCCTGCACTTTGGGAGACGTTATGGAAACCTCCATGGTGCAAAGAGACAGTGTCAGAGCTGATGGGTTTGACTCGGTCTGGAGTGATCTCTGGTTAGTCAGTTTGGGAACTAAGGGGGATCACAGGGACTTGACAATGCTGGAGCAGAAAGAAAAGGAGAGGAGGGGGCCCCGGTGGCCAGGGGGTCCCTGCTACCTCCTTGTAACGCTCCAGCTCCTGGGCGAAGGTGCGCTGGTGGAAGAGGAGCTGCAGGCGCTCCTGGGCGTAGTTGTGGCACAGCTCCTCAAAGGTGGCCCCTCGGCTCTGCCCCACCACCTCGGGGTTCTGTGCCCCAGGGGTGTCCACCACCGTCACTGAGCACACCGAGTGCTGGCTTGACTTGAGTGCCCTGCAGGGAACAGCAGGGTGGATGTTTGGATGGATGAATGCTGCCAGACTCCCAGATCCCTCAAAACCCCACTCTATACCTATTAAGCAGGGAGATAAGCAGGGTGAAGAGCTCCGAGTACAAGCCTGCAGCCATGCCCTCCAGGCACTCCAGCGCCGTCAGCTTGGGACCTGCAGGAGGGGACCGCTGTGCTTTGAGCATCCCTGGCCATATGCCCCCCAGGGCCGCCTGCACCCTACCTGTGCCATCACCCATGCCCGGCTCCTCGGGGCCCTGTCTGAAAGAGGTGGAACGCTGCAGGCTGCCCTTGGGCTGGTGCTTGAAGATGGAGGAGGAGAGCTCCTCCAGGCTGCAGCCCAGCAGGTAGGCGGCTTTCTGAGCCCACTCGTGTCGTGCAAACTGCTTCCTGCCAGCTAAAGAGGAGAAAGAGAAGCTCAGCACTGGTTGTCACATGTGTGGTGCTCTGCTGCTATACCCAGTGGTCACAGGGTTCCCCATGGTGGGTTAGGGTCAGGGGTGACATGTGAAAGCCATTCCTGAGGTGGCATTTTGGGGCTCAATTAGAGGAGATGAGGATAAGGAGCTTTTTTCCTCTGCAAGGCAGAGCCACGCTGGGGACACGGGGACAGCCCTCTCCATTGCTGCCACCCACAGAGCCCTGAGATGGTGCAGGGCTCTGAGCTGCCTTGGTCTGGGGACATGGCCCTGCTCGGCCACCACGATGTGACAGGACAGATGGATGGGCACACAGACGAAGGGAGGTGGGAGCAGGTTAATGGTGACACGACAGAGGGAAGGTGGTGGCACAGGGGATGGGGAAGGCAGAGGCACGCGGAGAACAGGACATTACCTTCGTCGGCGTCTGCATTGCAAAAGGGCAGCATGCACCATGCAAACAGAGACAGGGGTTAGAAACAACAGCACGGCACAGCGCGGGCACGCAGCATAGGGATGCCCAAACCCGTGCCAAACTCCAAACCAAGATGTGGGGATGCTCCTCCTGATTAGGTTTTGGAGCACTCCCCACAAGCAGAACGTAGTGCTGCTGCCCATAACTGGGATCAGGGGATGCCCCCAGCCCCACGTGGGAGCTTCCACACCACCCTTGCATCCTCGCAGCAGTGCTGCAGTGGGGTCCTGCTGCCCTCTAGTGCCTCAAAACACCCTGAGGACAGTGAAGTGTCCTTCAAACCCCTCCAAAACACAGGGCAAATGGGGCTCTCCTCAAATTCCTTTCTCATCTTTCTCCCCCCAGGTGCAAAATCCCTTGGTCCAAACTCTCCTGTGAGCCTGAAAGCAGCAAGAGAGGCTTTCAGCACCTGGAAGGTGGTACAAGATGGGGAGAAGAGCAGCCACAGAGGCTGAACCTGCACAGAACCTGCAACCTGCCTACCTGAGGCAAATTTCCTGCTCTCAGTGAAGGAGAGGAGAGCTGTCAGGGCAAGCCCAGGTGCCAAGAGGACTGCGCTGGAACACCCAGCAGACCTGAGCTCAGCTATTTAATGCATCCTGGCCCCAAGCAGTTTGTTACCTTTGGTGGCTCCAGCAGCCCCCAGGTGGTAGATGGCCCCCAGGACCAGCCAGAAGGCTTTCTGCTCATCGCTGGAGATGCCCATCACCTTCATGGCAGCCTGCAGCTTGTTGAACTGCTGGGTGGCCTTCTGTTTCTCCTCTGGCTGCAAGGAGAAAAGAGCCATTGGCACACAGTGCAATCCCTCTGCCCATCTCTCCCCTTGTCCCCCACCCCTCTGCAGCCCCCACCCAGACCAACAGCACACAGGACCTTGGCGAGGGGCACAATGCCAAAGACGTTGTTCTCCGCCAGGTGGTTGAAGTGCAGCTCTGTCCTGTCAGAAGAAAACCCCCAGGTTGGTCCCCGTGGAGGTAGGAGCCTCTTGAGCCCCCACCAGGGCCGCACTCACCGCAGGGTGCTGTCGGAGCAGGCCAGCAGGTAGTAGAAAACATTGAAGGTGGCCTCATTGGCCGGGCGCCGGGCAACACGCAGCTTCTCCAGCAGCAGTGTCTGGGAGACAGGGGGAGGATTGGGAAGCATCCCTGGGGGACACGCTCCCACCGAGACCCCCAGCCCCAGCCTGGGCCTTGCTGTCAGCCCTGGGTCCCCATAGTGGCACAGAAGTCTCCGTGCCCTGTCAGCAGACACTGCTTAATACAAAGCTCTGAGTGAGCCACGAGCATCTCTCCTGGTGCTGCCGAGCGTGCTTGGCATGTACCTGTTACCACTGGAGCTGCCGTTTTAAGGGCTGCTGCTATCACACGAGAGGCAGACCCCCTGGTATCAGCGCAATCCAGCCAGCAAAGGGAGCCAAACTAATCTGTGCTCTGCCCTCCAACTGCCCATGCGCATCAGGACGCAAAGACGTGAGCACAGTGTGGCTGCAACCACAGCGAGGCTGCGGGTCTGCAGAGATCATGGAGAAAACCCCCATGGCATGGAGCCGCTCTGGCGCCCAGGGGGCTGAGCAGCCCTCACCTGTATGGAGGCGGATGCCACCTGCCCAGCCTGGTCGAAATCCAGGGAGATGATCTGGGAGAAGCGCGTGGCATTGCCGTTCATGCTGGTGCTGCTATTGCCAAAAGCCTCCAGGACGGTGTAGAGCGCCTGCCACTTCTCCGCTGCGGGAAGACAAGCGGGGCGGTGCGGTGTGCGGGGCCGGCGGCGTGAGAAAGCGAGAGAGCGGCGCGCCGTGAGCGCAAAGCATGCGAGGGGACTCACCGGAGAAGACCTTGCCGGTGCTGCCGGCGATGGTGGCGAGGTACTGGACGAGGTGCTGGCAGTTGGTGGTCTTGCCGCTGCCGCTGGCGCCCAGCAGCACCACCGCCTGGTCCTGGCGGCCCATCAGCATGCTGCGGTAGGCGGCCTGCGCCACGGCGTAGATGTGCGGGGACGCGTCCTCCCGGCGGCACCCCTTGAACATGTGCATCACCTGCGGGGATGGCGCTCAGCACCCCGGCCCCAAACAGGGGCGGCTCTGCAAGGTGACGTGTCCCCGTCTCCCCCCAACCCAGCGTCACCTTCTCAGAGTACATGGAGGGGGAGCTCAGCGGGTTGATGACCACCATGGCCGGGCCGGCGTAGGTGTGGATGAGGTTGCTGCCATAGCGCTGCCGCAGCGTGTGCAGGACGCTGGACTCGTTGAGGTAGAGGAGGCTGGCGAGGTCCTCCGCGCGCTCACAGGACGGAGGGTTCGCCTGGCAGCGAGGAGGGGGTCAGATGGAGAACTGGGGTCCCCTCTGCCCCACAGCCCCCCCCATCCCACATCCCTACCTTCTCCACGTCGTCCTCCTCTACCTCCAAGACAGCTCCGTCGTGGTCCAGCTTCACCTTCACCTTGCCCTCGGGCAGGGCGCTGGGCTCCTCCGGCCGCAGCTGGCTGCCTGCAGGGGCACGGGGTTCAGCGGGGTCCCGAAAGCCTCCCATGCCCCAGCCAGCCCCCGACTCACCCAAGGAGAAGCCGTCCTTGTGCACCAGCCACACCTTGTCGGTCTCATACCAAGCCTCCTCAGCAGCGATTTGCTCCTCTGTCTTGGCCTGAGGGACAGAGGGACAAAGGGGCTGGAGGGAGCCCAAATCCACGTGACACCCCGCCGCCCCAGGAATCCCCTGGGTGGGATTGGAGCCCCAGATCCCTGCCATGGATGGGACAGACTTGAAGTCACACTGACTTCAGGGTGCTTTCATCACGGTCACCCCCGTTCCCAAACTGCAGCCCCATGCTGGGATGCAGGGACACTTGGTGTGCCATAGGACACGGCGTGCTGCAGGGACACGGCATGCTGCAGGGACACAGGATACGGCACACTGGTGGCCATCCCATAGGTGTGGGAAAGGCCAGGCTGGCACTTTGGGGACATCGCTGCTATCTGCTAGCAGGACGAGCCCCAAAGACAAACCTGAGCCGCAGCAGGGCTGGGGCCGACGGGGGCCGAGAGAGCATCGTCTGCTTGTCCCTATTGGGGCCAACAGATGGGGAGCGAGGGTAAGAAGGGGCACGCTGCCCTGCTGCGAGCATGGGGGAAGCAAACAGAGCCTGATGGCACAGCACAGCCACCCCAAAGCCCCCAGGCATGGGGCCAGCGCTTGGCCACAACGGTGCTGAGGACACACGGAGCTGGGGGGGCACAGTGACCACGAGGCTGCCGAGCAGGCAGGTGCACTATTGGGGATGGTGCCGCATGCTGGGACATGCAGGAAAGCAGGGTGCCTTCCTGACCCCTCTGTGGTGGGGGAAGCCTTACGCTCCAGCACGAGGCGCGGGCGCAGATGCCGGCCCAGTGGCACACAGAAGACAGCGGGAGGGCGGCGGGAGCAGAGAGCTGCTGAGGACAGGGGTATGGTACCTGGCTGGGGGCCGGGGTGACGGGGTCCAGCTGGCAGCAGCGAGAGAGAAGGAGAGAAAGAAGAGAGGGGTGAGAGGCAGAGAGCAGAGCCGGCACAGCCACGTTGTGCACGCGGGGATGGTGACACGGCACAGTGGCTCCAAGGCCATGTGCACCGCCCAGGGCGGCGATTGCCAAACCTGCTGCCTGCAGTCAGCAGCACTCAGTGTGGCACCGTGGGGCCAGTGGCCAAATGTGGGGGTGCGAAAGCCCCACGCGAGCGCACGCTGAGGACGGGATAACATCCCCATCCCTACCCCTAACCCTAAGCCCATCCTGCACAGCACATGGCCGTGCTTGAGCATCAAACCCCTCCACCCGAATTACAGAAGCAGTGAAGATCCTCTCCAGCCGGCGCTGGGCCTCCTCCGATGGGCTCAGCCGGGGCGTGGGGCCGGGCGCAGCCTGGAGGCAGAGCACCATTAGCAGCAGGCAGCCACCCTGCAGCCCTTGCTGGTAGCACAGAGGACATCACCAGCACGTGCTCAGCCCTACAGCCCACCGGGACCAACACCGTCCCGACAGTGGGACACCCACAGCACCCAGCACCGCCCCGGGCAGCCCTGCAGGGCACGTGGCACTGCAAACCCCGCTCCCACACACCTGCTGGGGGGGTCCCGGGGCGGTTTTTGCTGGGGTCGCTCGCTTCTCACCAGGCTGCTGCTTCTTCTCGGCATGAGCAAGACGGGGAGATAAGGGCAGTGTGACGGGGTGCACCCCAAATAACGTCCCCACGTGTCACCGCACACCCCGCATACCCCAAAACCACTGCACGCCATGCGGGTGAGCTCACACCATGCTCTGCCACACAGGTTAGGGCACCCATGCTGTATGCACACGCGCTACCTTGTGCCTCTCCAGGGCGGTGGGTTTCGGGGCGGACGCCTTTGCCGGCTCCGCTTTCCCTCCCGAAGGCCGTGCTGGAGGCTCTGGTGTGGCTTTGGCACCCGGGGACACAGCCGGCTTTGCATCGCCTGCCGCCGGCTCAGGGGACTTCTCCTGCCTGTCCCCCGGCCGGACCCGCGCCCGGTGCTCTTTGGTTTTCCCCTTGGCCATAAGAGTTGTGAGCCCTGCTGAGATCTCATCTCTGGGCTCCGGCTTGGCGGGAGTGGATGGTTTGGCCGGGGGTGGCAGAGGGGGTGGCGCGGGGGGGACCATCTCCTCCTTTCTGGGGGGCGGCACGGGCTCGGGGGGCTTCACCTCACCAGCATCATCGCCAGGCAGGACTTTGCGCACCACCTTCCGCACCACCCGCACCACTCTGCGGCGGGACAGCCCCTGCCCGTCATCCCCCTGCCCATCGCCGCCCGCCCCGGGGCCCTCAGGCCCATTGGTGGCCCCGTTCAGCACCGGCTCCGGGCTCTTTGCGCTCCCTGCTGGTGGGTCGGGGCTCTTCGGGGGATCGGGCTTTGGGCTTGCGGCTGCCGCATCCTTCCCAGCGTTTGGGCTTGGGGTCTCTGGCTGCAGCCATGAAGACAGCAGGGGGTTAGTGGGGGTCGGACAGAGCACTGCACACCAGGACAAGGGGTCAGCCCCCTCCCTGCCCACCCTACGGCTCCAAGGGAGGGCACGATGCCGACCTCCCTGTCCCCACACCCAGGACCCCGTCAACCCCTGAGCTGCAGCTATGGGGCAAAAACTCATTGTGCTCAGCTATTTTTACTGCAGTGCACGGGACAACCTGCAAGACATCCCCTTCTGACAGTTATGGCAGCTGCTGCGTTAACAAGCAAGCAAGCACTGAACCTCTGTCCTGCCAGACTCTGTGGGGCAGGGACCACAGTCCGCCATCAAAAGCACCCACAGCCCACATACTGCCCTGGAGCAGCTGCAGGAGGGGGATTTGCTCAGAGGTGTCCCCCAGCCAAGGGCGAGCCCTAAGCCAGCCCTGTGCACCCTGCCCCACGCCCTGCAGCACTTACAGCCCCGTCCTCCTTCCCGGGTCTTTTCACAGCTAAGGCTTTGTCCTCGTCCTTTACCTGAGGGTCACAAAGGAGAGGAGAGCGTTTCAGCCCCCAAAGGTGCTCTGTGGGGACAGCACACGGCCTTTTGTTGTGGCACTTTGGTGGGAGGGGGGGTGCAAAGCCTCAGCACAGAAATCTGCAGGATGGAGGGGGGGGGAGGGTGAAAGGCACAGCCTGGTTACAGCGAGCCCAAAGCAGGAGGGCTGCACTGCAGCTCGAGAGTGGGGCGACTGACAGAGCCCCTTCACATCCCCGGTTGTGTTAGAGAGTGAGTTAGTGCTGGCGACGTGTTAGGGGTTGTGTTAGGGGGTGCCTCAGTGCTGGGGGAGTTCCGGCCCCAGGAGCACTGCCATGGGTGTGATGGGTGCTGGGGAGCAGCGCGGGGTGCGAGCAACCACGAGCAACACTTCCCTTCTGCTCCCAGAACGCAAAGCGGGACGAGAAGGCCATGGCGATGTCTCATGGAGCCGCGGCCCTGGCTGGGGGAAAGAGGCAGAAGTGAGCAGGACGGGGCTGGGGACCCAGGGACCCTGAGCTGTCCATAGGGAGTGCCTGGGGATGGGAACTCATTCTGCAAAAACAGCCGCTTCGCTCACCCCCCAGCGCTGCACACAGCGCTGCAGCCCACGGCCGTAAGCAGATGCCGGGGTGAGCGCAGGGATATTTCTGCCCCGCGCACGCGCTCCGCACGCCGGGGGTTATTCTGAGCCCGACCCCGTGCCAGCAGCCGGGCAGCCCCCAAAGGGTCCCAGCGCCCCCACACAGCACCGCACCTCAACACCCAGCGGGGCCGACGCGGCTCTGCCCACTGGGGCGCCGCAAAGAACCGCCCCAAAGCACGGAGGAGCGCCCCGACCCATGTGGGATCGCAGCACCCTCAGCACCTGGGCCCACTCCCACCCTCCTGAGCGCAGCGCTCCGGGCACAGAGGCCCCCTAACCCTCTTTTCCCCCCACGCCCCCTCTCCAAGTGAACCCGACAACGGGGTCCCGTCCCAGAAGCGGCCCCTGCTGCTGCCTCCACCCCACTAAGGGAGCGCCCCCCCCACCGCCCCGAGCTCCCCACCTTACCGCGGGGATACAGGGGGCGAGCGCGGCGCGAGGCGGCGGGTGAGGCTGGCGGCGGTGCGGGGACAGCTGGGCTGATAGGGCCACCCTAAAAATAGCCAAGGAATGCGAGGGCCCCGGCGGCGCGCGCAGCAGGCGGAGGGCGCACGGAGGGGGGGGACGGGAGGGCAGCGGGGCCTCTCCCCCGCTGCTGGAGGAAGTGATGTGGGCCCTGAGGCTGCTCGGGAAGCGTCCGGCCCCCGTCCCACTGCCCGCCCCTACAGTGCTGCGTTGAGGATCCTCGTGGCACCGCACTGGAGTGGCCTCGAGGAGTAACGCTGGGGACGGAGAGCCCTGAGCCCCGCGGGGTGGCACGGAGGGTTGTCCTCGTGCCAAACCGAGCTGCTGCGGCTGATCCCAGCAGCACAGCACCAGTGAAAGTGCCCCAAATCATGACAGGATGCACAATGGAGACGGCAAAACCAGGCATCGGGATGCCAGGAGGTATCATGGTAGTTCCTGTCTACCCCGGACATCAGATGTGCCCTGAGCCAAAACCACTGCTGCAGGAGACAACAGGTCGGAGCCACTTATGGGGTGAACACCCCCATCCCACGGCTGCCCCAAACCCTCTCCACACACCTCTCCTGGGTCATGCATCGGGGATGGAGATAGGGGTGGCACAGCAGAGCATGTCAGCAGTGATACTGCTGTCCTCAGCGGCCGCCACGCTGTTGCCAGCCAAGAGGTCGTAGCCGTGTCCTCCGACAGTGGGGCTGGGCTCTGACATGTGCCTGGAAGCTGGTGCTGCTGCCCATGGGCTGCGTCTGCCTCCATAGGGACCCACAGCCCAGCCACAGTGCACCAACCCTACGGCCAAGGCATGGCACCAGCCCCCTCCCTGGGGTCTCCTGGGGACCCCTGCAGTGGGGACAGCACTGTCCCCTTAGCAAAGGCAGAATAAATGGTAAATGAGGAGCTTTTCAGGGAGGACGCAAAGAAATAAGGAGGAAGCACTTCTGGACACGGGTGCCCAAGGCCGGTGAGGGCACGCCGGCAGGGCCATGGATGTTTGTGGTCTGGCCAGATCGGGAGCGTTTCTGGAATATTTCTGCCCCACCAGAGCTGGACGGCGCATGCCTGCACCCTGCCTGAGGAATTTCACTGGTAAATAAATAAATAGGAGCCTGGAGCTGAGCCAGAGTGGCTGCCCAGCACCCAGAGCATGGCTGGCACCCCATAGCACAATGGGGTCTGCCCAGAGCCCCCCCAGGCATCACATCCAGTGCCTCCTGTTCCTGGTCCCCACCATGGGAGTGGGCAGTGGGATGAGGGTGGCTCCTGGGTCCCTCCGTGGAGGGGTTAAACCCCGCCACCTTCCCCGCTTCAGCCGGGGAGGGGCTACTGGAGCAACAGCCCAAAATATGTCTATAATTTCCTGTTTCAAAAAGGATCATTTTTATTTAAATTAGGACCAGAAACATTCCAGGGAGCTTAGCTGGGCCTGGGGGAGCACTGGGCCTCCCTGTGTGCATCAGCACCTTGCACAGCCTCAGTGGGAGAGGGACACTCTGACTGCGCCCATCCCAACCCCTGGCAAGGCGGGTGGCACCTGCAAAGCCGTGGTGTGTCCCTTGGTGTCCTCACTGCAGGACGAGGGACCCCAGAGTGCTGCAGCTGCCAGGGAGGACGCAGGACACACCGGTGCAGAGCAGTGTGGACGGGGTGCCCATGCCCTGAGCTGGAGGAAAGGGCTGAGAAACAGGGGGCACTGCTGGGAGCCCAGAGCACAGCGCTGGCTGCAGCCCAGAGCCCGCCCCGGCTGCGCGGCACATCCTGCAGATAAGCAGCCATCTGTGGTCAGCGCGCAGGACGGCTCCTTTCCAGGAACTGCTTCTGCCACGATTTATGCCTTAACCCCCTGCAGGCATCGGCCCTGCAGCACCAGGCTCAGCTTGGTGCCTGCTAAATGGGAAGAGCACTGCTGCCAGCAAGCGCTCGCCATGCCGGCACCCACCGTGAGGCCGCGTGCCACGCTTCTCCCTGCACCCCACACTCCAAGGGCACAGCGTTTCCTCCTCCCCCATCCCAGCCTGAGCACCATGCTCTCACTGCCACCGGCACACTGCCAGCCCCCACTCGCTGGCAGCAACTGTGCACCCGCACCAAGCTGGAGTGCTGCAGCATGGGGTGCCCCACAGCTCTGCATCACAGCCCACTGCGTGTGGGGTCCAGCTCCATAGGATCACAGCATCCCAGGATGCCTAATGCTCACAGCAAGGTCAACGGAACTGGCAGCACACGGGGAAGATGTGGGTCACCCAGCCATTGAGTTTCTATTTATACAGCACCGACTGCGCACGCTGGGCTGTGCAAACCCTCTGCAGCTCCCTGTCGAGCACCGTCCCTGTGAGACCTGGGGTTACAGCACAGAGAGGTTCCTAGCACTCCCATCCTCAGACCCAGTGGGAAACAAAAGGATTTTCCCCGTACTCCTCCATGGGAAGGGAGGTGAGCACTGCAGAGGGAGGCAGAGGGAAGATCCGCAGCACCCACTGCTTCCCACGCCCTGTGCCAACCCAGACACCTGCAGTGGGGACACCAGTACTCACATCCCACGCGGCACGGCGCGTCCCCTCGGCGCCCCGCAGCCAGCAGCGGCTCAGCTCGCTCAGCTCCAGGATGGGCTGCACCTTCAGCTGCACCGTCTCACCGGATTGCCGGATCATCTCCACGATCTCATCCCGCGTTTTGTTCTCCACGTTTTTCCCGTTGATCTCCACCAAACGATCGCCCGGCACCAATCCCAGTGCCAAATCCTTGGTGCCGGCGCCGGGTTCAGCAAAATGCACGACGCGGCGATACAGCTGGCCATCGGGGGCACAGTCCAGCATGGTGGTGCGGCGCAGCGAAAAGCCAAAATCGCCGGTATTGCGTCTCTGCAGCTCCAGCTGCCGAGGTGCCGGGGGCTGCGGGGGCACCAGGGCGGGCAGGCGCAGCTCTGCAGGAAACCTCTTGCTCACCAGCTCTGGGGGTCTGGAGATCGAGGAGGGCACAGGAGGGGTGCGGGGATGCCCTTGGGGTGCGCCTTGCTTGGAGAGCTGAGCCTCCAGCGCGCGCACCTCCACCTGAGGGGAGGGGGCTGCTGAGTGCTCCGAAGGGGTGGAGGTCTCCGACGCGCTCTCATCGCGGCTCTTCTGTGAGAAGGAGAAGCGCTTAACGATCATCTGCGAGTTCTGCTTGGCCAAGGAGCCAAACTTGGCCGCCCGCTGCAGCACCGAGCCCTTGAAGTTGGCGTCGTCCACCTTGAGGTCGTCGCTGGAGCTGGCCGTGCTCAGGTGGCCCGAGTCCAGGATGACGCTGCCCCGGTTGCTGTCGGAGTCGATGTCGGTGAGGTGCAGATCGGAGCCACTGGCCACCTTGATGGGGATGGGGTTGGAGATCTCCAGGCGCGCCTTGGAGTCCCGCTTGGACGCACGGTTGAGGTTGAAGAAGCCCCTCCGCATGCTCATCTCCTCCAGGCTCTTGAGCTCGGCCGCCGACATCCGCTCCTTCTTCTCCTTCTTTTCTTTCTTCTCCTTCCTGGCCCCATCCTTCTCTTTGTCTTTCTTCATCAGGTTGAACATGGTGCTGCTGCTTGTGGCACGGCCGCCTGCCTGTGGGACAACACACAGACATGGTCAGACACCGCATGGAAAACACTGATCCTAACCTGCCACTGCCTAACGCTGCCATCCCACACCCAGTGTGCCAAAACAAGCCCAGAGCCTCGGCATCACCCCATGCACCTCTAGGGCACCACCGCATGCACCTGAGGAAGATTTACCCAAATTTGACCACGTTCACAGTGGGAAGAGGACCCCAGCACACAGCCCTGACTGAGCACTCTCCAACAACCAAGAACCTGTAAAATTGCATCTCTCTGAAGCACTGAAAAATGCCCAGTTTTAGCAGAGCGCTGCACATCCCGTGAAGTCGTTTGACCTCCAGGAACAGTCGCTCTTTTATTTGGGCATCCCATGCGGGGGGAGGGCCCCAACCCATGGCAAAACCATGCCACAGCCTCCCCCCAGGCTCCCAGCACAGCCCCAGGGCAACCACAGGGTCCCCACCCTGCCACCCACCACCCACCGACCTCCCTCGTGCATCGGGGCCCTGGGTAAACAACCCCAAACCCAACCAGCCGGGTGGGAAAGCAGCGAGGGACGGGCTGACAGCTATATATAAACAGGGCAGGAAGCCACACCGCGCAGGAACTTAACCTCGGCACAAAGGACAACAGGAAAGCTCCCTGCATTGGAAGCGCCTGTGGTGGAGCTCTCAGAAGGCGTCAGGGCAGTGGTTAGTGCATCAGCAGCAGGACTACAGGCACCCAGCGAGCACGTGTGCCATGCTGTGCCGTGCCATGCTGTGCTATATGATGCCAGAAGAGCTGTGGCTCAGCTCTACCGAAGCATCACCACCCCCTGGGCCACATCCCTGCAGTGGAATGTGTCCCCCGTCGCACCCAGCAGGACACAGGGCACAAAGCCGTGAGCCCCACAGCCCCATCCCAGCATCTGCAGTAACAGACCGTGCAGCAAAGCTCCTCTGCACTGAGGACCACGGGGTTACAGTGACAGCTCTGGGGTCTCGGCAGAGGGACACCCATCTCGGGTCACCCTCGGTGTCCCCAAGCAGCATGGCTGGGCCGCGGCACCCCAGGCTCACCCAGGGCGGGCAGGGACTGCCGGGACCGTCGCTTGGTGCCGCTGGGTGGCACAGCCGAAGGCAGGTGCCGCGAGGGCCCCAGGCGTCGCGCAGCTCTTTGTCCTCAGCCCTCCTCTCCCCCGCGCACACGCTGCCTGCCGGCCTTTGTATGCTCAGCAGCGGAGGGAACGGGCGGTAGGAGCTGCATGGTTAATGAGCCGGCACCGCCGAGCAGCTGCACCGCTGCGTGCACCCATCGCCACGCGAGGTCACCGCCTGCTCCTGAATCACCCAGCGCCCCGACCCCGCTCCCGATGCACTCACCCAGCGCTCTGCCTGCCTCGGCCCGAGCTCGCTCCGGGATTATCTGGGTGTGTTCGGGTGGCAGCGTGCGTGAGCTGTGACACGGGTGGGAGCGGCGGCCGCCAGCGCCAGCTTCACCCATGCACTGCATGCGAGCTCCTTGCTGTGACGTCCCCTGAGTGCTGACCCCAACGCGAGGTGACCCCCCGGCCCCTGAGGGTCTCTCCCCCGCTATGAGCCCTACAGGTGCCCGGCACAGAGGGAAGCACTCCCTGGAACTCGGGGCCACTCCCCTCCACGCAATCTCACCCGACGCGCTCCCGACGCAGGGACCTGCAGCACCAGTTTGCTGCCTGCCCTGTGGTGCCGGCGGTGGGAGCCCACGGCTGGCAGCCCTTTGGGGTCCCCGTGCTCCACTCATGCTCAATTTGGGGACAGCAATGGAGACCCGTGCCACGGCTCCCAGCTTCCTTGCCGGATGCCAGCACAAGATTTCCGCACTCCAAGGAGATTTAGGGGTTTTCCAACCTCTGCACACTGCCTTGTGGACACCATTGGGATGCATGAGGAGGACAGCGTGCTGCCAGCCTTTGTCTGAAGTGAGATTTTGGGGCTTCCCATGCAGGAAGACAGCGACAGGGGTCACAGCTAGATGGCAAACGCAGCCCTGTGCCCAAGAGCTCCAATGCATCAGCACAGGGTGTGTGCACCTGGCAACAAAGCAGGGCAACCACACAACCTGGGCATAACAAAACCCCACTGCCCAGTGCTGTGGGAAGGAGGGTCCAGGCTCAGGGACACAGCACGCAACGGGTCACCAGCAGCACGTGCCATCGCATGGTTTGTGCCCTCACTCTGCAGCACGGCCCTGCTTTGCTATGTGGCTCCCAGCTGCAGCGTGCCCCCCGGCAGGGCCCAGCCCACAGCACAGCACTCAGCTGCTGTTCGTCACCGAGCAAAGTCCAGCGCCGGCACAGCAACTACACCTGGCTCAGCCCAGGGCAGGGGGTGCGTCCATCCCCCACCACCGAGGTACCCCGTGGGCACGGGGACTGGGGCCATGCCGTGAGCCCACGTTTTTCAGTGCTTGCCCTAAGTGTAGCTGAGGTGCTGGGTGACCAAACGATTTGCACCTCAGGGTTCGCCGGCTGCAAACCGCACTATTTCTGGACACGCGTCCTGCCAGCCCTCGCCCGCTCCATATATTGGTCCCCAGGCGAAATAACACCAGGACAAACCCCGCAGCAGTCACAGCCCCGCCAGCCCCATCCTCATCCCAAAGCCGCCCCTCGGGCACCCCGCAGCCCCCCCGCCGCTGCTGGTTAGGGGAGAGACGGGCGAACAGCTTTAGTGTCATTCCCTAATGGTGCGGCGGGGGAGGGTGTTGGTGGCAGGCCAGAAAGGTGCGCAGGGAAGCACCCACGCATGGGGCACCCCCTGGGGACACAGCAGCCCCCCCCAGTGGGGTCGCACCCCGGAGGGGTTTGGGGTGCGGAGCCCCAGCGGGGAGGGGGAGAGACGCAGCAACGCGGGCACCGCAGCACAACAGCGGCATTCGCAGCGCGGGGGGAGGAAACGCGCACGCGGGGACGCGCGCACACGCGCACAGCGTTGCGGCCCGGCCCGCGCGGGGGGTGCAGGCGCGGCGGCCCCGCCCCGGTGCCGGTGCCGGTGGAGGAGGCGGCGCGGTGCGGAGCGGTGCGGCGGGCACTCACCCGGCGGTGGCGGCGGAGCGGGGCCCGGCGGTGGCGGTGCGGTGCGGTGCGGAGGTGCCGGGCCCCGGCGGCGGCGGCGGCGGCGGCGGCGCGGGGCGGGGCGGGGCTGGGCGGCTCCGCACCGGGGCGGGCACTGCCGGCTCTGCGCGCGCCGCCCGCTGCTCCGGGTGCGGCCCCGAACGGCGCCGCGCGGCGCGGGACGGGCGGGACGGGGCGGCACGGAGCGGCTCGGGATGGAACGGCGTGGGGGGTGCGGGCTGCGGGCTGCGTGCTGCGGGCGGGTGTCCGTGCTGACCGCAGCCGGCTCTGCGCGCACCGGCAACGCGCCCCTAGTGTGCGCGGTGCGGGTGCACGGGCCGCGATGTGCCCCCGGTGCACGCACACCCCCTGTGCGCACAGCCCCGCTTGTATGGACACCCGCTGGTTGTGTACACCCAGAGGCACCCTGCGGGAACACACCTGTTCACAGCACGGGTTGCACACACACGCCCCGATGCCCGCAGTGAGATGCTTGCACGCTCACTTTGGCACATGCATGCACACGGTGTGCTCACACCATCAGCGCAGCATAGGGCGCAGTGCTGGAGTCCCCGCAGCTGGCAAAGGGAGCTGCTTTGGTGCTGGGGCAATGAGGCCGCGTGTGCTGCTGAGGCACTCCTGGGAAGGGAGCAGCAAGGAGCCGTGCTGTGACCCTGTGAGGGGATGATCACCATCCCCGTGTGGACACAAGGATGGAGCTGGAGGCCCTGGGATGCTGGGTTCCTGCAGGCAGCACGCAATCAGCGGTGAGCACCCCCAGCAGCGAGCCATTAGCCTTTGCTGTGCCTTTCCATTCATGTCAGAGGGCTTTAAGCACAGCCCAAGCCCAAAAAGGCTGCAAAAAACCCATGTGGCCCACCCTGAGCACTGTGAGGGCTGTGATGGAGGTGGGACCACCCCCCAAGGACACATACCCCCCACCAGACAGCCACAGGGGAGAGCAGTGCGGCCAGCAGTCAGACCCTGCAGCTGCTCTGCTCGCTTCTCACAGTTTGCAGGGGCACCGGGAGCCTCGTATGGCTGCACAGCTCCATGGAACACAGCCTGGAGCCCAGCACATGCATGCAAGGTCCCACTGGATGCCACCAGCCCTCTCTAAGCACAGCTCTGTGTCAGCCATTGGCAAATCCCGCACCGCACAGCATTCCAGGGAGAAACGGCCCCATGCTGGGCTGGGGGGAGGCATCTGTTCCGCAGCACCACGGGGCTTTGCTAAATAGGTCACTGCTTTTTTTATAGTCTCCGGGATCTAGAAAAACCAGTTGTTCCAGACTGCCGGCGGACCTGGAAACGTGGTGGTGGCGGATCCCCAGGTGCTCTCACTGCTGTTCTCCAGCTGTCCTCAGCCGAGAGGGTCAGCGAGATGTGAGCGAGATGAGTGGCGGATCTCTGAGCAGCACTGCTGGGTGTGACTGCGGAACAGGCAGAGGTGTTTGGGGCCGGCTGCCCGCCGCAGGCTTTGCCTGGGTGCCGTTTGCCGTGTGGGTGCAGCCCTGCACACCGCTGTACGCCTGCCTGCGCCGACTGCAGGCCGCTGCTCGGGGTGAGCTCTCCCTCTAGCGGCACCCAGCTTCTAGCCAGCCTGCCAGCCCTGCGGGGCCGTGCCCAGGACAGGTCTGGGGGCTGTGGGGTGTTGGGGCCGTGCTGCGGTCTGCAGCCCCGCAGTGACAGCTTTGGGAGCAGCAGGACAACCCCCACAGCGAATGCGCTGCCACGCAGCAACAAAACCAGCCGCCTTGTTGTGGTCAGCAATGCGTCCCCACAGTACCACTCAACCACGTCGACCCCATTAATGGAGGGGGCCACACACCACCCCGATCCTGCCCCCCAGAAGCAGGGGTGCTCCAGCTCCCCGTGGGCACCGTCCCAGCCCTGCTGTGTCCCCGCAGGCCTCGCGCCAGGCTGGGCTGCATTCCGCGCTGACAGGGCGCTTTGTTTTGTGCCGAGCAGACAAAAGGGGCAGTCAGACGCGGGCGGCGCTTTGTGCTGGCGGCCATGAGCTGAGGCAGCAGCAGTCCTCACTGCCACGCTGCCTCCCAGCCCCAGCAGCCTGCCCTGCAGCAGCCATGCCCCAGCAGCCAGGCCTGCACCCACCATGGCACCCCTGCCAGGCTGGGAAGGGGAGCAGGGCCTAGTTGCCATGGTTACCAGGAGGCTTTGGGCCTAGGTAGGCCTCGTTGCTATGGTTACTATGGGTCTTCAGACCCAGGTATGCCTCGTTGCCATGGTTCTGTGGGGCTTCAGGCCTAGGTAGGCCTCATTGCCATGGTTACTGTGGGGCTTCAGACCCAGGTAGGCCTCGTTGCCATGGTTACTGTGAGGCCTGGTGCCTCTGAGGCCCATGGTGGCCCTGCACCCCCACAGGCCTGGCATCATCTGTGGGCCCAGGGAGCGAGCCATGGGGACCTGAAGGCCCCACAGCAGCTCCCACCACTGCCCCACGTCCCTCCTGCGGTGTGAGGAGGGCTGGAGGATGCAACCACACCATGTTGTCCTCGCTGCCCAAGCACACAGGGCAGGGGACCCCAGATGGTGCCACGCTGCTTCCCACCTGCCCCCAGGCCAGGCCAGCCCCGTGACGGCGCGCTGCATTGCCCCTGGAAAATGCCAGAAGCGTCAAACTGTTGAGTCATTCGCGCCCAAGATTATCTGTACAAACAGCCGTCCCTGATTATTTTTGTTATGATCTTTTTTTTTTTCTTTCTTTTTTTTCCTTTTATTTTTTTTTTTTCCCCCAAGAATGTAGCTCGGACCATGGGGATGAGCTGCTGAAATCTCCGGGGATCAGCAGGACAATGCCAGTGGGAGCATTGTGCTGACGGCTCTGCAAACGCTGGCACCGGCTCCGGGCCAGCAGCGCCCTATAAAAGCTGAGCCGCTGAAGTAGGCAGACATGACATGGGCGAAGCAGCTGTACCGCCTGAGCTAGGTGAGTCCTGGGGCTGACCTGCCCCATCCCAGCCCTGCTCGCCCCGCTGCTGCCTGGTGCAGCCCTTCCTCTGCCCGGTGATAGGAGAGGTGCCCAGAGGGTGACACGTCCCCATTGGCACAGCGGGTGGCGGACAGCCCCGTAGCGAGAGGCAGATCCGCACCCAGCTGTGGCATGGCACGCTATTGGCACCTCAGATTGTGAGCCGCGGCCATCCCGATGCTCCTGAGGAAGGAGTGCCCAAGGGAGGCACAAGAAAGGCAGGGATGGGAGCGGGGGTCTTGCGGACCCCCCAGGGCACAAGGCAGGCTGTGGGAGGAGGGAGCCCCCCGCTGTGCCCCTTGGGCTCTTCTTCAGCTGGTGAGGGTCTCATTGGGAGCGATCAAGGGAATGCTCTGCAGCATCGATTGGTTTTCCTTCCTTCTCCAGACACCTTTCCAGCAGCAAAGATGGCTCAGACAAACCCTCTGCCTGTCCCCATGGGCCCATGGAAGGTATGTCCTCGCACGCCCTGTGTCTCAGGTGGGAGGTGGGGAACAGAGGAGGACAAAGCCAGTTCTTCCTGGCAGTCCTCTTTGCAGTGTCTGGCCTGGCTGTGCCCTGCCAACACCAGAGGTGCTGTATTGGGCAGCTGTCTCCAGAAGCCACGCGCTGTCATTACCACCCCCTAAGGGTGAAGGCAGGCTGGGCACAGGCCAGCAGGCATGAGAGCTATGCAGGTGGCAGTGGGTATGGAGAGCAGCCTTGAGGGTGCCAGGGCTGGTGACAGCTCCGGCAACATGGCCAGTTGATGCAGGGAATGAAGAGGGAGAGGAAAATCACAGATAAATGGGTAAAACCCTGTTGAAACACGGAAAGGATGGCATCAACCACAGCCCCAGGGAATCCCCCCTCGCCCTTTTCCCGTTAATCCTCTTTGCCCTAGAGCGTTCGGAGCAGAGGCCGGGAGAACCGCCTGCCACAGCCCTGCCACCTGCCCGTCCCAGAAGGGCTCCACTCCTCTCTCCGGACGGTGCTGCTGCCCCAGGAACTGACCTTAGGGGTGAGCAGGAGCAGAGCGGGGCTGGCGTGCGGCTCCCCAACAGCAAGCAGGGAGTGTGGGCCAGCAGTGCAGGGATGCACGAGGTGCAGGGGCTGCAAACCAGCCCAGGGATGTGCCCAGCCCATCCCAGAACAGTGCTCGGTACTCCTCCCTGGATGGAGCATGAACCCATCTCAAAGAGGTGCTGAACTCCCTTGGGACCACTGCTGTGCTGTTCCCGACTGGGCAGCTCCTTCTCTGTTCCAGATCACTGTGTACGACCAAGAAAACTTCCAGGGCAAGAGGATGGAGTTCACCTCGGCCTGTCCAAACATCATGGAGTGTGGTTTCGACAACATCCGCTCCCTAAAGGTGGAATGTGGCGCGTGAGTACCTGGTTCTGGTGGCATATATGCTTTCCTCACTCGGGAGCTTGCGGGGGGTGAAGGGTGCCCAAGTGCAAACAGGGCCAGGTGGGTTTACTCCACTAAGATGGAGCCAGCACTGTAACTGGGGGAAGAAAGGCATGGGGATCCCACGCTGCCGGAGAAGGGCAGCCAGCTCTGGGCAGTGTCACAGGCACCGGGCAAACAGGGCCAGAGAACAGCAGCAATACCTTTGGCACCATCCAAACCCGCAGTCTGAGAGCAGCCAGGATTGCAGCTGTGTTGCATCCAGCATGGATGCTGCCTAAAAATACAGTGAGGATCAGTGCTTAGAGAGCTCTTGGCTGGTGAGCTCAGCCTGCTCCCCATTCATCCGTGTAACCCTGCGAAGCGCTGCTTCAGAGCCCCATTTCTCACCCCAGCGCCCTGCTCCTTGCTCTTCCAGCACTATGCGGCTCCCCCAGGCCAGACCTGAGTCTGCCTGCAGCCCGTGCTGAGCTGCCCCAGTCACTGTTAGGGTGTGGAGCAGAGCCAGGCTTTTCCCTGCACTCAGGAATCCTCCCTGTACCAGGCAGGACATCTCCCGAGCTGCTCGGAGCTGCCGTGTGTAAGGAGCAATCCTGGAGGCAAACATCCCACTGGTGCTGGGGAAGCAGACAAGATAGATTTGCACTGCTATATTTAGGATTTGTAATGCTAATGGGATTACCACAGCGTGTGTGCTCACGCAGTAATCAGCTCACTGCTCCAGTTGATGTGTTCCCACTCAGGCTGCTCACCTTGCTGACTAGGAGGCTGACTGCAGGGATGGGACCAGGGCTGAACTTCGGTCCTCAAAGGAGGCGAGAAGTTCTCAAACCCTCCAGCATCTCACATGCCCCCTGGGAACAAGTGGGATGTACATCAGTGTGCCATCCTCCTCCTGGCCCCTAGCCCGGCCTCTGCCTCCCTGCTAAGCTGAGCTGTGGCTGTCCCATCCCCAGTCCCTGTACTGCCACGATGAGCATCCATCAGGTGGCGGCCACGGTGACAGCCTTTCTGGGGGTTCTGCCCGTGTCCAACACGGCTTTCCTTTCCTCCACTGCACCTGCGCTGGTGGGCAGATATCAGACCCCAATCCTCCTTGCACCTCCATCTGTGGCCCCAGCGGGAAGCCCTGGCAGCCCTCGCTCTGTTTTGTTTTGCAGCTGGGTTGGTTATGAGCACACCGGTTTCTGCGGGCAGCAGTTCATCCTGGAGAGGGGCGAGTACCCGCGCTGGGACGCCTGGAGCGGCAGCAATGCCTACCACATCGAGCGCCTCATGTCCTTCCGCCCCGTCTGCTCTGCTGTGAGTGCCCAGGGGCTGCCCAGCTCCTAGTGTGGGTGCGTTGCAGGGCAGGAATTGCCCCGGGCAGGGCAGGAGCTGCTCCAAGGTTTCTGTGCTGCAGCATCCTGTTACCCCAGCACGGAGCCAGGCATGGGCAGGGAGCAGCACTTTGCTAGGGGCAGCACGGCACTGTGTAGCAGCTCCTGAACCTTCAGTTTTCCGAGCCGGGAAACCCAGGCAACATCCACTAGGACAAGGGAGTGCAGTTAGGAAGGGCAAACCTGCTAGGCCAGGGGCTGCGGAGGTAATAGAGTCTTGAGGGTGGTCCCAGCTCTCCCCACGCTCAGCAGGATCGGCTACAGCAGCCCCAGGAACCCCCCAAACCAGGCTGTAGGGAGGGGAAGCCATCGCCAAACCGTTCAGCCCCACTCACCTCCCCTTCTCCTGCTGCTCTTCCCGCCCAGAATCACAAGGAATCCAAGATCACCGTCTATGAGAAAGACAACTTCATCGGCCGCCAGTGGGAGATCAGCGACGACTACCCCTCGCTGCAGGCCATGGGCTGGGCCAACAACGAAGTGGGCTCCATGAAGATCCCCTGCGGCGCGTAAGTGAAGGGCGCAGGGCCGGGGCTGAGCAGCGGGGACGAGCCGTCAGCACGCGGCCCCGTTCCTCTCTCATTCCCTTACTGCTGCCTGACAACTCCGTTTCTTGCAGCTGGGTTTGCTACCAGTACCCCGGGTACCGTGGCTACCAGTACGTCCTGGAGGCCGACCATCATGGGGGAGACTACAAGCACTGGAGAGAGTGGGGCTCGCACGCCCAGACCTCCCAGATCCAGTCCATCAGGCGCATCCAGCAGTAGCTGCCTGGCGCCCGGCCCCACTTCTGAGCACATCTTTGCAAGGTTTCTAAAGCTCACCGGCTCCCTTTTGGTGCTAATAATCCCCTCCTGAAATAACAACCCCTTCTTGTACTGCAACCGCTTGATGGAACAACACTTCTAAACGGTACCAGCTGCCACAAACTGCCAATAAATAAATGTGACTGAAAGAAAAAGATAAAGCGGCCTGATGGGTGTTTCCTATTGCGCGTGGAGGTCACACATGCCATCCTGCCCCATGCCCTGCACTCGCAGCCCCACAGCCACAAGCACTGTGTGTTCTCTGTGACCCAGGGCCAGGGGATGCTCCCTCAGACAGCAAAAAGAGACACGCCGACAACCATACACTTTAAATTTTTTATTCAACGATTTACATCACTTATTGTCCATCTTAACGTATTCCATCTACACGATTTTTTTCTTTTTTTTTTTCCTGATAAAATAATAAAATTTGGATAAATTTTGAAGACCTGTTGGTGCAGAATAAACAAAATTCAGGTAACTTTTTTTTTTTTTTTTTTTTTCCTTTTAATGATTTTTTAAAACATTTAGTGTGAAGTATGACATCATTGGTAAAGATACATCATGCCATTACAGCTCGTGGACGTTCCCTATCCTTACAGTCCGTGACACCACCGGCCCCAGGCGCAGCTCAGCAGGTCGCACTCTCACTCCTACTGCTGCCCTCTCACCATTGGGAAAATGATCCCGTTCCAGCTGGGCACAACGAGTGTGTGAACCCATTCAAACAGACCGGGAAGGGGAGAAGAGAACAAAACCGACCTTGACTGTTTCGACGTGGACAACAAGGAGGGGCTGCCCCTCTCCGGGGTCAGAGGTAACTCAGCCCCCGAGCAGGTAAAGCACAGCCCCTCCTGGTTTTAACACGGGGAACTGAAGGATGTGAGCTACGGGCAGGGCAGGAGGGGCTGAGCCAGACCCTGCTCCATTCCACAGCTCTCTACACTGCTGCTAACACTGAAGTATTTGGGGAGGGGGGGGAGAGGGGCATCTGTCCCCCCAGTAAACAAGTCGAGGCCCTTCGGAAACGTGCAAGCTGCCGAAGGTGTGTAAGTACACGTGTGATGGTAGATAGAAAAGCAGCCCTGTTTGGTATGAAAAAAAGCCATCAAGTTAGTACAGGTTTCTGCCATGGCGAAGGGAATGTAAGGAGAAAGGTGCCGGCGTCCTCCTCCCAACTCCAGCCTTCCCCACACGGGGCTCAGCAACACGCCTGCAGAGCTGGCACCTGCAGCCCAACACACGTCGCTCACGAGAACAAAACCAAGAGCAGCTCTCAGCCCCCCACTGCACGCACACAGCCCTCCCTGCGGGCACAGCACCCTGCGTGTGCCAGGGCAGAGGGCTGCCACGTGCCAGCAGCCCATGCTGCTCCATGCCCTCCTCTGGCGCGAGGGCACCGTGCGGAGACACGGAGCACAGGTTGGCCCGGAGCACGCCCAGCAAGCCAGCTCGCCCCTCTCCCTCCAATTACTAAAGTAGGTTCTCTAAAATAAAAAAATAATATATATTTCTATAGATATACAGAGAGAGAGACAGAGAAAGCAAAGAGAGACAGGCTACTGAACTCAAGAAGCGCCAGTTTTCTGCTACGCTGTCAGCAAAGAGCTGTCACCTCCATCATGCCCTCCGTGGTAGGAAGATAACGCAGGCAACGACAGCATGGGAATGCAAAGAGGGCAGATAAGTCACTTCTGGTAATGAGACACAAATTAAACTTTCAAAACATGTGCATAGCTTTATTCATCTGCTTCAAACGAACCTTTTCATGGAGCTTCAGCGAAACCCGAGTGTGCAAAATGCATTTCTAAAAAATAACGCAAGCAAGCTTTCACATTGACAGTGGCAGAAGTACAGAGAGACTGAGGGAGAGCACATGGGAGGGTGAGGAGAGAGATGAAGGAACAGGAATTGCACGGCTTCACGCCCCAAGTCGCTGACTGCACGCTCCACAGCTCTGCTTGGGCAACGCACGGCGCATTTACTTTTCCTTTAAGAAAAAAAAATAAAAAAGGGCAAAAAAAAGCCCACAGTAACGTGAAGCACAATGTGAAGGGAAGGGAGCAAAACCCCGCGCCGTGGGGATCAGAGAACCTCGACCCCAAAGAAGGGCTGGTTTCGGACCTCTGCTCATTTCCGTCTGCGGAACAGCAAAGCAGATCCTCTTCCTCCTGCCCCGGCCCCCTCAGAAGCCGCACCAACAGGTCACGTTTGGGAGGACAGCCTCCCCCGCAGCCCCCCGCCGTGGCTGAGCACACACACAAGGCACGTTTGGGATGTGCACACAGCTGGGTGTGCAAGAGAGCAAACGCTGGGCAAAAGACGGCGCCGACGGAGGGGAATTCCGGTATCTGTAATCCCACAGCGTTATTCCTGCGCTCCTTCGGACCCTCCTGACTCTTCCCTCACAACAGGGCTCCTGTAGGATCTCCACAGCATCAAGCTCTCCCTGCCCGAAGCGCCATGGACCCTCCCTGGGGCAGGAGGCCGTGTGGTCTGAACATCACTGCTTTGCTTCTGGTCAACTTCACATTGGAATAAAGCATTAAAAACATATATATAGACATATATTATTATTTTTTTTTTTCCAGAGATGAGCGATTTCCTTCCAAAGATGTATGCAAATAGAAAACAAAATACTCCCAGTGGCAACGAGCCACGAGCTCATTGCCATTTCAGACCTTCCGAACGCTCGGCCATCATCCCCACATCGCCAGCAGGCAGGAAGGAGGAGCTGGGACGGCGCAACCCTTCCAATAGCAGCTTGAGAAGAGGAAGGAGAGAGAGAGAAACGCACAGTGTTCTGCCAAGGTCAGAGCTCTCCTTTGCTTTGCGTTTGCATAGAAATCCCCGTGGGTCAGCACCAGGGTCGGGCCGTGGGGGGCTGCGTGGGGCGGCTCTCGTCGGGGAACTCGGGGGACAAAAGTGCATCACACAGTCTGGATTTTCGGGGTTACGAATAGCAGCAGCAGCATTAATCCGTGAGCGGCTGGAGACTCGCTCTCAAACGCAGCAACACTGAATGAAATGTCTTCGAGGGGGGTGGGAGGAGGGTCCTTCTCAAAAGGATAACGTGAAAATCAGACTATTCCATACAGACAACGAGGAGATCAACCGAAAATCAAAGACGCGTCATCTTATTTACATTAAAAAGAACAACAACAACATTCTTGTTAAAATACCTTAACGACACCTAAGCAAAAAAATACGGATTTTAAGAATAAAGCCCAAACTCCTAAAGCAGTATCCATTTTTGGAACCCTTATTTAGCACCTGAGGAAAGACCGTCTGGAAAGCAGTTTCTTGTCGTTTCTCTTAAGAAAACAGCACTGGTACTGCTGCTCCACGCTCACGTATTCGCAGTACACAAGTTTCATACCACAGAAAAGAAATTAACTCGTGTTTTTTTTCCTGTTTTTTTTTTAAATTTTTTTTTTTTTTTTTTTTTTTTTTTTTTTTTTAAGATAACTCGCTACTAAGGCTGTAAGAAAAGGGATCCCGCTATCTTACAAAATGGCTTTAGAGCTCTGGACAGGAGACACGAAGCTTTCCGATTAACAGTCGAGATCGATACAGCTCGGCAGCCCCCGAGCAGGGGGTCCCATGGCCTTACCCTGTGTGCGACACCTATTGTGCAAATTCCTAAAGCTCTGGCATCTCTGGATGACGGAGCACATCGGGCTCTTCTGCTCCCTTCCCCTCGCTTCTCTGCGCTGTGTTTTGCAGGTGCAAAGGCAGAAACCTTGTTCTCGCGTTGGCCGAAGCTGCTGGGCTCCTTCCCCAGCCTCACACCTCCGCGTGAAGTTCTGTAGCAGCTTTACGTTGGGTTCAGCCTCGTTCTCTCCCCTCCTGACCTCAGTCACCTTCCTCGTAAGCAGCCTCTACACAGAAATGAACGGCTGTGGGCACACAGATCTCCAGGACAGTGCTGCACAGCAAGGTGCTGAAAACACCAAATTGAGAGCAAAATCACACGCAGCAAAGCTCCCGGCTACCAGCATCAGTGCTCCAAGCAGCTCCATGGGTGCTACGTGCCGAGGTGATGCTCTCCTCAAGGTGAAAAGCACACGTTAGACTTAATTAGGAGGATAACTTCTTTTTTTCCCAAGCAGGAAGCAATTCCTGCCTTGGCTGAGCCCGCCGGTGCTCCCCGCTTGGCCATCACAGAGCAGCACGGCTGGGATCCAGCAGGAATTGGTTTCTGCTGCATTTCAAAGCTCACAGCAGCTGGGAAAGGCAAACAGCAGGGCTGACGGGACAAAAGGTGACGGTGAGCAACAAACCACGTGCTGGAGCTGAGCACACCATCACACAGATCCCAGAAAGTGAAGATTTGGGATTTCACAGATAACGGAGGAGGGTTTAGAGCAACCAACCCAACCGAACCTCAACACCACAGCGCCGCCGACCCAGCAAACAGGCAGGAAAACGGAGTGCGGAGGGGCTGCGGGTCCTCGTGCTGCTGCTGGAGGAGCAGCTGTGAGCCCTGCCCGAGCCACCGCCACCAAGTTTGGGGACCATTTCGGGGCACGTGACCAAGACTTTGCTCAACAGACACCTGCAGGACCTGCTGGAGACGTGGGGGATCACCAAGCTCCAGTGGGCACAGATACCCACAGCTTGCACACCGCTCACATCAATGAGAAACCCTGCAAGGAACCAGGCGGGAAGGGACACGGGGCACCACCAGGAGAACAGAGCAGTGAAAGCAGCCCTAACCTGAATCAGCATCCTCACCACTACAAGAAGGAGGTCACCATCTCACCCTTAGAGCCGCTCTCCAACGCTACACCTACAGAAGGGTTTGAAACTCGCTCTGCTCAGTGTAACAAAAGCAATGGCACAAATAAACACACGCTCGCGTGACGCCGGCGCCCGCAGCCCCACGAGCGCTCGCCCCACTGGGCTGTATTTGGTTTATGCTACAGTACTAATACTCTGAATCCAACCAACCAACCAACAGACTCATCAGTAACACTTTAGCATTATTTAAACGGCTAAAATTAGTCACAGCTCAATTTTTTTCTATTTTCCTCTTTTTTTTTTTTTTTTTTAAATGTTTACACAAAAATAATCAGAAAACAGATTAAATCTGAAGATATTTTTAATAAGTGCTCAGCAAAGAATTGTGTGAGGACAAAGGGAGGACTGCAGATGGACAGGGCGAGTTACACAAAGCACAGAGGGAGCTCCCCCCACGGCCCTGCATGGGTCGGGGCAATGCCTGCCTGCCCCACGGCCCTTCATCAGCAACCCAGAGCTGTAGGAGCTCAAAGAGGAGCTCCTGTCTGCCTAGTGCCCAGCAGGTGCTGGGAGGACAGCCGGACAACCAGAGGGGTGGTAGGAGAGAGGATACAGCAGGAAAAGTGGTGGCTGTGCATCGGTACCACTGACAGCACGGGGCCAAGAGAGAGGATGTCAGAAGAACCCAACCAACCCAACACAGCTCCGCGTAACCCAACGCAACTCAACGCAACTCAACGTCACCCAACGCAACTCAACCCAACGCTGGGCCCACGCTTCTTTCTGGGCTTCTACCCGGAAGGCAGATGGGGCTGGGGTACGGGGCCACACGCACGTGTTTATTTCTAGGCTCGACGCCCCAGGGAGCAAAACAGGTCTTGGTTTTGTGTTTTTTAATGGAACCCAGCCCTTAAGGCGACAAGTGACTACACAAGGCAAATAAATACACAGCAGAGCCTTAAAGCCAGTGAAACAAACTGGAAGCTTTGCAAACAGCCTTTGCAAACACTTTGCTTTTCATTTTGCAAATAATAATAATAATAATAATAATATTAATAATAAAAGATTTATTCTACCTTACCCCTCCCAGCCCCATTATCCAGTTTGTTCAACGCTTTAAAGCTCAGGAAAGCCCCGGCCCTTTTGCAGCGGGGCCAGAAGCAATTCCCACTTTTGGCAAGCAGTTGGGAGACTCAACAGAATTGGAATAGGAACAGAGGAGGACTGGATGCAGGGCACACCTGTAAACATGTTGTACATCCGCAAGTCACACACAAAACCTGCAAAGGTGACACAGGTTAGAGGTGAAACAGAACTTTTCGCGACTGGCCAACCACAAATTTCAGACCTTGGACTGGTACAGGACAGCACTGCTGTAGGGCACCACACCGGGGCATGGCGCGCTACAGTACTTGAGACATAAATGGAGTAGGCAATCCGTAGTCGAACCGGTACAACTAAGCGTTGCAGAAAGCTAGCCATCTTACAAAGGTACAGAATTCAGTTCCATCGTCCCACCGTGAACCTCAGCGCTTCGTCCAGGAACAAGCTCATGAGAAGAGCAGAAACAATTAAGAACAAAACCCACATGCTACACACTGATAGCTCCAAACAAACCGAAACCAAAGCGGCTCTAAGCACAAGGGCAGGCAAAAGCTTTGGGCTTCTCTGCTTCCTGAAACGCCCCCTGGGATCCGGACTGGTTGGAGAAGAACCCACTGACGCCCTCAGTTTTGGACCCAGGGCACTTTTTCCATCTTTCCACCTTCACCAACCCGGGAAGCACCAGCCGTGCAGCGATGGGACAGAGCGGGTTGCATGGCACCACTGCCTGAAAGCTCTCCTTCTGGTTGGATTTCTTTTTATTTTTTTATTTTATTTTTTTTTCTTCCTTTTTCCTTTTTTTTTTTTTGTTTTTTAAATTATTTTCATTCCTAAGTCCTCTTTTTTTTTTTTTTTTTTTTTTTTTTTTTTTTTGGTAATAAAATATATTTTTATTAAGAGATCATTAGAAGCAGAGCCCGGAAATACACAGACTACATTAAAATATAAAAGACCATTTCCAAGGGCCGCAGCAGGAAGCCCAGCCGTTGGCGTTCTATGGACAAATTGAGAAGGATTCAAATTCCCATTTTTCCTTTTTTTTTCCTTTTTTTGTCATTTTCCAATTTTTTTTTAAGAGAACAAAACCAAACCAAACCGATTTCGTAAGGGCGACAGTGAGCAGAACTCGATTCCGTTTCAGTTTGATCAATGAAAATGGGAAAAAAAATCCAGCATATTTAGTGTTAGGAGACAGACACAGCAAATATGAAGCACCTACGGTTGAAAGCAAGAGATTTTTTTCCTTTTTTTCTTTTTTTTTTCCTTTTTTTCTTTTTTTTTCTCTTTTTTTTTTTTTGCTCCCAGTGACACAATGGCGTTAAGCAATGGGAACAGCGGCGTTTATCAGGTTTTTTTCTTTTACTATTTTTTTTTTTTTAACCATAGTAAATGCCTAAACCCAATGACTCAGTTTTCAATGTTGTCTTTTAAAACAGAACAACTCTTCGGTTGCAAATAGTCCGACGTTGTGACCGGAGCCAGGTCAGCGCTGTGACTTCACCATGCATCCCAGAACTGCAGTGTGACCGTTTTCTCCCCCCAAAAGAATGCTGCTTTAAGACAATTCCCCCACACCAGGGCTGGCTGCTTTTACTCCTGGCAAAACGTGCCTTTAGAATTCGCTGGGGAAAACAAAAAAAAACACCAAAACGAGAAAAAAAGAAAAGTCTGCAAATTTCGAGTGTTTCTTCAGCGTTCAATGGAAAACGAAACGAGGAAAAGAGAGAAAACAACAAAAAAACCCAACAGAAAGGGGAAGGGGAGATGAAGGATGGCGGATCATCCTGATTCCTGCGGTCAGTGTGTCGTTACAGTCACACAACAAGAGACACAGACCTCGTCAAGTGGAAATGCCTCTCCTGCGGGTCGCTGCTGCCACGCAGACGACAGCGGGAGCTTTAGAACCGGGTCTGCAAATGGAGCCTGTGTTCAGCCATCGCTTGCATTTCACTCTTTGAACAGAAAACAGAACGAAAACGAAAATAACGAGGGAAAAAAAACAAAACCCAAAAAATTCTACTCGGTACCGGAGATTAAATAATCACGTGTGTAGACTCGTTGAAATAAAATTTTCTGATTCCTTAAGAAGTCTAATTACTTTCAGTCGCCATTTTTAAATAACTATATTATATATTTGTATATATTATCCTGTGATTCTAATTACGGTTCCTCTGCTGCACTGAAGATTTAGAAGGAGCATAAAAGCCTTTTGTCCCCCACGGACAGCACAAATGCTGCAGAAAGGTTATAACAGGCAGTCTTGTCTTGCTACCTTCATTGATCCGGGTGATCCATGGCTTCGTCGTAGGTGATTATCCTTTTGGGATCTGGAAGAAAACAAAAGCCCTCAGTTTCTGACAAGCGCCTTCCAGGACCTGAGGCACAGGGCCTCCTCCTGCATCCTCCCCACGAGCCGTTTGCAGACGAACCAGGGGGAGGTTCAGCATCTAATGCTGATTCTTGAGCCCAACAGCAGAAATGCAGAATGATTACAGCACAGACGCAGCAGACCGGTTTGAATTGTTTTCTTTAGGCTCCCAGCACCGCTGCCTGTCCTGGCTCTGAGACCCAACACGGATAAAGCCAAGGAGAAGCAAGCAGCTCAACGCACCGCTGGGCAGCGGCACGAGCAGCAGGCGGGGATGGGGCGGCCGTCATTCCCTCCCATATCCTTACCTTGCTTCTGCAAATTCCAAACCGCTTCCATTTCTGCAGAGACAAAACAAGAAGGCCGTTATTGCACACATCTATGCACCAGCAGAGCCCACCCCGAGCACTCAGCCCAGCAGCATCTCCCCACACAGCCAGCAGGACTCAAAGAACCCGGCGGCAAAGGGCACGGCTGCAGCTCTAACTGGTCTGTGGCATCAGATGACCAAACCCAGCACCAGCAGTGCCACAAATCCCAACCCCAGGCTGCACAGCTCAGTGCGATGCTCTGGGATTTGTTGCTCCATGGTGCACAAACCCGGAACGGCCCCACAAGTTCTTTGCACACAAAGTTCTCGCGTGCCTTCGTTGACCTACAGAACAGCGAGGGAGGCAAACGCTCTCCTCATTCGCATGGAGACACAACAGAAAGCTGCTCCGTTTGCATTCAGCCCCTACAAAATCGTCACAATGAGTCTTCAGAGACCTATTCCAAATCACGGCAGTTAGCCGCTATCAGACTGCATTTACGAGCCGCAATATTGATGAAGACACCAACTGCAGCCGGTGCTCAAGTCAAGGAGACGACGCTGCAGAAGAAGAGCATTTAGCAGGAGCACGAGCTGCAGGAAGGATCCCCACGGCCTCCCCCTCTGCCAGGGGGAGCACAGAACACACACTGATCAAACACTGCCTGGGGACAAGAGCACAGCGAGGCAGTGGGAGAGCCAACAGCACGGGGGGGGAAGGAAAAGCCCTCGGCCTGGGCTGTGGGCTGCCCAGCTGTGAGGCAAACCAGCCCTAGGATCACCTGAACCCATTCACCACGAAGTTGGGTGCGTCGTGTCCTAAATATCACCAGTTCTGCAGCTCTCCCCAGAGGCAGAGCTCACCCAAATTCCGGCTCCCCAGCATCGGGACAGCGGGGAAAAAACTCAGAGCCCATTGCTGCATCTTAGTGCCAGAGCTGCTCTCTTTTGCTCCATCAGGAACCGCAAAAATGAACTGCTTATTTAACAACACACAGCGAGGTGCTACCAGACCCCAACTTCAATGCATCAGAATTCCGTAGTCTAGGGAAGAAACAAATCCTTTTCAGGCTTCAATCTTCTTCTGAAGGAGGTGGGAATGTCCTGCACATCCCAAGGACTGGACGGCAGCAGCTGGAGGTGCTTGGCCTGACCCATTCCTAAACAACACCCGGCTGGCAAAGCAGCACGCTCCCTTCCTGGCAACTGCAGCCTGAAGGAGACACCAGCCTCAACCTCTTGCCCAACAACAGCCAGCTCTATTGTGAGCCAGGGTGAAACGAGGCGACCTCCAACACAGGGCAGGCAGCCCAGCAGCACCCACCTGCACCTACAGGTAGCAGAGCCACCCTGGCACCATCCCTGGAACAAAGGGGCTGCAGAGGGCTTTGATGTCAGGAGCACTGCAGCAAGATTCCTCCCAGGCCAATAAACTTTATAGCTGGATTGGTACATAACCTTGGAGGGGAAACAAGTCTGCGTGATAACTTGCTTGGACAGGCACTTGGATCTACATTCCCCTCACCAGGGAGAATGCTCCTACAGACAAAACTCCCCGTGCTGTGCTATGGTGGAAGCTCTTCACTGTCACAAACCCAGCACGCAAACTGACAACCTTACCCAAACTGAACAGCTCAAAAATAACCAAGAGGGACCATCCTCGCCTGGATTCTCACTACCTGCAATGTGCAACCGTTAACTTTGGGGATGCACAGGAAACAAAGCAAAGGTTCAGCATTCGATGCCACAAAGCCTGACGCTGGGCAGCAGATCTGCCAACTGGAAAAAGCAGAGCCTTGAAGAATTACATCAGCTTCTGCCCCGCAGCACATCAGCAACCAACTGAGCCCTCACCCTTCCCACTGAGGGGGAAGGAAACCCAGGCTCATCCCCCTCCTCCCCGATGCAGAGGATGGGAACTGCTGAATTCACAGCGCTGCTGCTGCTTCTGACCCAGTTCCCCATTCCGCCGCACGTCACTCCGCGCTGCCCCTCGCTCTATTTTGCACGCTGCTCCCCTGCTTCTTCATGTGAGCAGGATCAAAGCAGGGCAGACAGAAACATGGGGCAAGGCAGGAGGAAAACAGCTGCAGTTTCCTCTCTCCTCCACTTATGCTGGCTTTGCTGCCGTGCAGCTGGAGCAGAGTTTGCCCGCCCTCCGTGGGCAGCCTTCTCTGGAAGGACAGGACCAAACCACCTGTTTGCATCAGCCCCAAAACGAGGATCTGAACAACGCCACATCGGGACAAAGCTTCAGTTCTACCCTGGGGGAGGGAGGAACGGAGCCCATGAGCGACAGCATCACTCCCACTGCTCCTTGTGGGCTCCCATCAGAAGCTCACAGCCCTGCCTCCAGCCAGCCCGCAGCTCCAGCAGCACGGAACTGACTGACATCCACCTCGCTGGGCACGGCACCAGTAAGCAGCACGAGCTGCCAGTGAGGGCAGAGCCCTGAAGGAGCGCGTGCTCCGGGTGGGCAGATCAGATGGCTGTGGAAAAAGGGAAGCACAGAGCAGGATAGCAGAGGAAGCACCACAACAAGCATCCGAGAGCAGAACACGAGTGTGCGCCAGCTGCTGCGCCAGGGGGTCTGCAGTGCCCCTGAGGGGGGGGCAGCCTGGGCACACATAGCTCTCACACCCTCAGTCCCACCCTCTCCCCACAGGCAGCCCATGGAGCTCAGGGCAGGTGCTCTGCTCACCCCGTCCTTGCCCCACACGTCCATAACCCTGCAGGAAGGGCAGATTTGGAGATCAAACCACTGAGACTTTGCTCGAAACCAAACAGATCGATCTGCAGAGGGAGGATTTCGCCCTTCTCTTGAAATCCAAAGCAAACAAAGTGAGGACAGATACCCACAGCCCAGAGCAGGGAGGAGGGCACTGCAGGTTGTGCAAATCAGTGCGTGCAGCCGCTCCCTCCTCCTGCACAGGGACTTGAGGGGACCTCAGGAAAGCAGCCCTAAATGAATGGGAAACAGTGTGGGAATGAACTGCCTGCAAGCTGTGCCTCAGCAACTGTGGGCCAAATCTTTGGTACGTGGTGACTGCCAGGCACCTGCACAACAACTCTGCCCTCAGGGCTGTGGCCACAAAGAGAGAATGGGGATTTCCCTTCAGCACAGGGCAAGGGAAGCTGCTGATCCTCCCAAAAACCAAACTCAGTCCTCAGCAAACACCAAAATGCAACGTTTGGTGTCACTGCAGGTGTTCTCAAACCTTCATCACCCCATGCTCTGTAAGCCAGCAGCTCCTGGACACCAAGCAGGAGAAAGATGAGCTCAGGCTGCCAGAGCAGCCCTGTGCTAATGACACAATGCTGCTCAGAAACAGCCAGAGCAGAGGAAAAGGAGAGAGCAGAGAGCAGTGTTTTAAGAGGTGATTTAGGTATTCACTCCTGCCAGTGCATGTAATTAACCTCTGTGCTCAGAAGGAATAAGCAGAGCCAAGCTTTGAAGTTAACACCTCCTCAAGAGGACATGGGAAGGGAGTGTTCTTTATTTTCCTGTTGTTACCATTGTTTTAGTGGGGTCTTTCACGCAGCGAGCGAGAAGGGGAGAGACAGGGCAGCTTCTGCACAGGAAAGTGCAGGAAGACTAATAGAGACAAACCAAAGTGGATAAAGCAGCAAACTTAATAAGAGAACTGGAGCAGGGAACCTTGGCTCCCTAACACCAAGCCAAGGCCAGCAGCTGTGAGAGCTCCAGCCTATGGGGCTGGGACCAGAGGTGAAGCAGAAAGGAAACCACCCTGCAGGCTTCGCTCTGCCCTGTTTGCTGCATCCGCACTGTACTTCTGTCACTGCAGTCTGAGAGGACTACAAAGGGGCTCCATGAAAGCAATATCATCATCTGAAAGATGCGCCCTACAAAGGAAGGGAGGAAATTCAATCTGCAGCTTGCAGAAGAGACGAGAGACAGAGATTTGCTGTGCTGTCGCTACAACACTTTTAGAAGGGTGGAGAAAAGGTGAGGGATGGGGAGAGGTTGGGGGGCTACAAAAATAAATAAGTGAAACCAAGAAATCAATCACACTGTGAGGAGGAAGAGACGCACAGGAATAATCTTCCTCCCTTTAAAGCCACGATCTCACAGCCCCATCAGCCCTGGGGAGAAAGCGCAGAGGTGGCAGAGGTGTGAGCGCAAGGCCCTCTTGGTGCTGGGGCAGCTGCAGCAGAGCAGTGAGCCCACACAGCTCCTCCTGGGGCCCAGGGAGACCTGGTTGGTCCATAGGGACTAAAAGGAAGAACAGAGCAGAGGCTGACCCCCAACCCAACCAACTGCCCATCGCAAAAGAGAAATGAGCAGCTCCTAGCACAAACGAAGCAGCTTTTCAAGTCACTTCCCCAAGCTGCGGCTGCCATTTGGTACGGGCAACCAAAAGCTCCTTTCCAAAACAATCGGAAGCGCTGCAAGAGAGATATCATGTTATTGCATTGCACTGACAGAGGGAAAAAGCAGCAGAAGAGAACAGAGCATGCCCTTAGGTAGCGAGTGAAGCCATTACCTTTAGTGTGATATTTAACAGCAGCACTCAGGTCAAAAGAACCCCAGCTATCTTTCCTTTCTAGGCCTCTCTGGTACCCCTGTTCTTTGGCGGAGCTTAACAAATTGTTCGTGGGAGAGGCCAGAGGGTTCTCTACTTCATAGTCTTTTGAAAGAAACACTAAAGCACCTTGGCTGCCGGCGTCTGCCTTTTGCAGCTCGCCGGTGTGATGCGACTCCAGGGCTGCAGCGCCGCCCTCCCCAGCAGTCCCAGGCTTGGGGGCGGCGCTGAGCGCTGGGGGTGGGTTAGTCCGTTTGTCCAGCTCGTACGCCTTGGGGAACGCGGGCTGCTCGGCTCCCGAGGGAACGATGTCAGCGCACTGCGAAACCAAGGCGGCGGGATATTCCCCCTGAAACGTCACTTCCATCAGCTGGCCATCGGCAGATTTCCCCGCCGCGGTCTCGGGGCCGGCGCTGGGCTCGTTGATGAACGACAAACCCCACTGGTTCTGGAAGATGTCTCCCAGGTTCTGCTGATTCGTCTGCGACGGGAAATCGACTTGAGCCGTGCCCAGCAGCACGGTTTGCATATTGGAAGGGTAGATAAAAAGGTTGGATTTCTTCTGCTCCAGAGCCGCCGGGGCTGCGGCGACGTCCGGGGGCACCGCATCAGTGGGGGTGGGAGGGACAGCAGCAGCAGCAGCAGCAGCAGCGGGGGTGAGCAGGGGCTGAGCGCCCGGGGGGTACGCAGTGCCATCCGTCCCGGCCAGGAGGGGCCCGTTGGAAAAGCTGGCAGAAGTGACGGACTTCATAGCAGACATGGGGACCTGGGACAGCCGGCTGGACGGCGGGGGCTGAGCTTCCCCGGCAGATGATGAAGACGACGACGATGAAGATGCAGATGGGGTCTGAGCCGCTTTGTTGAGGTTTTCCTTAACTTTGCTTGCATAACTTATTTTGGGAACGATTTTAGCACTGCTATTGTCCACCGGAAAAACCGGGGGCGGTTTAAATAAGGTCCACGAGTCCTCCTTAGACGCAGCCGACGAAGCGTGCTTCCCTTTGGGCCGGTCATCAAACTTCTTGCCGCTTATCCCAGGTTTGGCATCCGAATTTTTCCTCTGCACATCACCGAGCCCAGGCTTCCCCCGGCTCGCCGCCCCGCCGCCCCCCGCCTCGTATTTCCAAACAGGCTTCGTATTTTCAATTCGGTTCCCTTTTTGCTCGCTATAATCGGGCTTGAAACTCTCCAGTTCCTGTTTCAGGGCCGGCGTGCCGACCTCCTGTTGCATTACTTTGTCCTGCACCAGGTTCAAGCTCTCGCAGCCCTTGGCGCTGTTGCGCCGGCCTTTCCGTTTCTTTGGGGTGGTGTAGCCGCTCTCGGAGCCGCTCCCATCGTTGTCGGCCCCTTTGCCCACGTAGCCATTGGTGATGTAGCCGGCGCCGCCGCTCACCACGCCGTTGGGAACAGACCCCCCGTCCTGTTTGTCTGCAGGCTGACCTTCTCTGAGTTTGCTGTCGTAGGGCTTCTCATTCTTTTTGTCCATGCTATTTTTCTGAACAAAGTTCTTGGGTTTGATCGCGGCTTTCCCCAGGGAGCTGCCCTTCGCAGGTGGCTTCGGGGTCACATTCGTGTCTGCGAGCTGCTGGCTGCCATTGGGCACCCTGGACGTGGGGCTGGTGGTCTCCTCCGAGCACAGAGCCTTCAGTGACACCTCTCTGTCCCCTGCGTTACCATTCAGCTCTCCATAGCCTGGAAGAAACCAAGAAGAGACAGAAGAGCAAGGATTAGAGCGTGCAGCGTTCAACTTCTGACTGCAAACAGCTGTGTCCCGTTTCCTCAAGGTGTTCTGAAACAGGGAAACATCAGCTCTCCCATAGAATCATAGAATGGCCCGGGTTGCAAAGGAGCACAGTGCTCATCTGGTTCCAACCCCCTGCTATGTGCAGGTCACCAACCAGCAGCCCAGGCTGCCCAGAGCCACATCCAGCCTGGCCTTGAATGCCTGCAGGGATGGGGCATCCACAGCCTCCTTGGGCAGCCTGTTCCAGTGATTCACCACCCTCTGGGTGAAAAACTTCCTCCTCATATCTAACCTAAACCTCCCCTATCTCAGTTTAAAACCATTCCCCCTGTCCTATCACTATCCAGTCCACGTCATCGCCATCCACGTGCAGAGCTGGCAGCCCCACAAGGAGAGCTGAGCATCATCGATACACGGACAACCCAAAGCCAGCGCAGCGCTGTTCAACACGCAGAACAAAACAAAAAAGAAGGATGCAGGGATGCAAGGAGAGGAAAACACGCAGCCCTACAAGCCGCTCGCAATCTGGAGAGCGATTTCATCAGCTACCATTTCCAGGTCACGCAGAGGAAATTCCCAGGATGCTTCAAGAAAGAGGGACTGCTGCTCTGAGCCGGGAGCTGCTGGGATTCTGCCCCTGCAGCACCAGCAGGGCCCACAGCACCTCCAGCACAGGGAAAAGCAGCGCTCAGGGGCCACGTGCCAGCCCAGGAGCAGCGTGGGCTGCGCTCCAGTTTGGGAAGGAACGCTTCGGTCATCGCCGATGCCGCTGGATCGAGCGGCTCTCATCTTCGCAACCCGGAGCCTCGGATGCGTGGCAGATGTCACCGCCCCAGGTTTGAGGAATACGGGAATCCTCGCGGGGCTCCTCGGAGGAACGGCACGGCCCGGATGGCTGGGAGGGCTCGGCAAGGGCCGTGCTGCACGTGGTTGTCTCTGAGCGCACCGGGACCGGCGGCGCCCCGGGACGGCAGCGGGGCTCCATCGCACGGGACGGGACGGACGGGGACGTGCAGCCGTGCAGCCGCATCGCCAGGCCGCGTGCGGGGCCCCGCCATCGCCCCGCGCCGAGCTGCGGCCACGAGCCCATTGCGGATGGTGGCAAGAACGCGGCGAGGCCGGCCCGGCGTGTCAGCACTTTCAACTTCCAATTTCCGAGGCCGCCTCCGTTTTCTCCCCAAACCAACAACTGGGCCTTGGGGGAGGGGGGCGGGGGGGCAGCAAGAAAAAGGCGTGAAAACGGACGGGGCGGCGGGGAGGAGGGGGGCGCGTCCAAACCCCGCGGGCAGCCCCGCGCGGCGCAGGCCCGGCTCCCCCCGCCCCCCCCCCCCCCCCGCAGCGGCTCTCGCCGCCCCACGAGCGGCCACGCCGCGCGGCCCCGCACCCCCTCCTCTCCCCCCCCCCGCCCCGCACCCTCCGCTCGGCCCCCCCCCCCGCCCCGCACCCCGCACCGCTCCGCAGCCCCACGTGCCCCGCGCCGCCCGCAGCCGCGCCGGCTCCAACATGGCGGACAGGAAGCGGCCCCAGCGCGGCGGAGAAGCTTCCAGCCGGGCCGGGGGAGGCGGCGGCGAAGGAGGAGGAGGAGGAGGAGGACGACGACGAAGGCCCCGCCGCCCCGCGAAGCTGCCGCCCGCCGCCCCCCGCCCCGCACCTGTTCTCCGCTTGGGTCCCTCCGGGTGGCGGAGCGTCGCTTTGGGCTGGGCCCGGCCGTCGGGCGGCGGCAGGAAGGCGCTCTGCGGGTAGTAGCAGAAGTGGCGGTGGTGCGGGTGGTGGTGATGGTGGTGGTGCGGGTGGTGGTGGTGGTGCGGGTGGTGGGGGGGCTGCTCCTCCATTGGGGGAGGGGGGGAGGGGAGAGGCTGAGCGGGGCCGGGCCGGGCTGGGCGCTCTCTCGCTGCTGGGCCGTGCGGCGGAGCGGGGACGCGGCTCCGGGTGGCGCGGGGGAGGAGGGGGGGATGGGGGGGAGGGCTGGGAGAAGCAGCGCTGCAATCAGAGAGCGGCTCCGCCCCGCACCACGCCCCGCGGCGACACGGCGCGGCGGAACGGGAAGCCGAGAGCCGGGAGAGGGGAGGGTCTGTGGGGAGCGGGAGGGAGGAGGAGGGACGGGGGGGGACGGGACGGGGGGGGAGCGGTGCGATGGGAGCGGAGCCGCTTCTGGGCGATTCCCGAAGAAACGTGGGAGGTTTGGGGGGAAGGCGAGGAAGAAGGCAGCGAGCGGAGCGGGGCGGGGAAGGGAGCGATGAGAGTGGGCGAGTGGGCGCCTCCCGACGGCTGCCGTCGCGGAATCGCGGCGTGACCCCGCTCCGGAGCGACCCCGGAGGACCGGCTCTGCGCAGCGCCGCCCTCCTTCGCCCCCCTTTGCGGCTCCATCCCGCGCAGCCCGCTGACGTCTGCGGCCGTCTGAGCCCACGGTGGGACGTTCCCGTCTGGGTTACCGAGCCCTGGGGTTTGGGGCGGTTCGTCTGCGCTCAGCACAGCGATCCCAACCTTTATCCGTGCCCCGATGCTGCCCTCCGCGTCCTCGTGGACACCCGACAGGGCGGTGGGATTTGGGGTGAGGAAATGGGGCAGGGCGTAGGGATGAGGAGTCCCCGGAGGGACACACTTGGGATGGAGAGACCCGAAAGTGAGCCCACGTTTTGGCTGGGTCAGATGGAAAGCCCCATGCAGGCAGCGCTCAGTGAGGTTTTACCTCCTGCAGCAAATAGAGGCAAGAAAACAGGGTGATCGAATTAAAGCCCGTCGTGACACCCTCCAAAAAAGTACACAGAGTGCTCAGACTGTCCTCAAACACCACGTCCTACCTTCTCAGAGCTTGCACAGAACACCCCCATATAAATACTCACTATTTCAATAAAGCAAAAAGAAAAAGCTGCAGTGCCCAGAGAGCCCTTCAGCCCTCAGCCTGCATCACACACAGCCCTCCCCACACCTCCCTGCAGCACAGGGTCATCCTCCTGCCTAACCCCCCCCCACACAAGGCAAAACTTCCTGCTGCGCTGACTTGGTGACCTCACATCACTTAGGAGATGGCTCCCGAAGCAAGGAGCCAGGCTTTAATCGCAGCTCACATTTTATTGGTGGCTTGGAAGCGTTTATTTTTAATATAAGGGACTGGTTTGAAGACAGACGCTTCAAAGGACTCTGGAGAAAGCAAACAATTACGGACAAATCATCTGCACACACAGAGACACCAGAAATCTAAATGCAAAGGGCAGAGGGCTGTCTGTACATGAAGATGAAGCAACTGTTTCTCTCCTTAGAAGCACCGGTTGTGCGTGCATCCCAAAGCAGGCAAAACCAGATGAAAACAGACATAAAAATCCAGCAGCTCACAGCCCAGGGCTCTCTGTGCTGAGCTGCACGGCCAGGGACGCAGCACAGAGATGCACTGAGGGCACGGTGAGTCCCAGCACTGCGTGTTTGGGATGTGCAGCTCACCGCCTGCTCTCACATTGCCCACTGCTGGAGCACGCTGTGTTCTCCCATCAGGCTGACAGCAAGCAGCACTGCATTGTGCAGCAGTTTGGGATGTGTTCTATGGGAAACTTGCAAACCTCTCTGCCTGCAGTGAGGCTCCTCCCTGCTGCTCTGAGCTTGGCACATCAGTAAGCTGTCCTGCAAAGCAAAGAGGAAATTTTCCTTGGAACTCCACTCCCGTGGCTGAGCGATCCCACAGTGAGCACACAGCTGGGCACAGCCATCATTTCCAGTTCTGTCACTCCAAAGGTGATTTTCCAAAGCTCTGGAGCACGGGGCTGTGCAGGGAATGCCATTCATAGCTGAGGGCAGCGAGGAATAAATCGGCTGCCATGGAAATCAGGAGGAAGTTCTCGTGGAGGTGAGGGGAGTTTTGAAGGCGTGTGAAGATGCAGTTAAACTTTAAAGCTTATTCCAATGATCTGTAAGAAGAATTTCTAAGAATTTCCTCTCGAAGGCCTTTTTATGACACCAATTTGATTTGCATTGAATGTTCAGGGTGAGCTGAAGCTAAAATTAGGAAATTCATCCGTGGAAAGGAAAACATCTCTTCATCCAGGGAAAGGAAAGGGGTTCTTGTGTCCACCTCCCGTTTAAGGCTCAGCACTGAGAAGCAGCCCAGTTACTGCATGTGCAAACAGTGGGAAAGGTGACTCCACAAAACCCAGCTCTTGGGATCACATCACATGCAGCAGGTGATATTGGGCTGAGCTGCTTTAAGGGATGAACACAGAGGGAGCAGCACAAACCCACGGAGCTCCTTTAGGAGCAGAGCACACAGGCTGCTGCTGGCGGTGGACTTTGACCTCTGGAAGATAAAAGGGAAAAGCTCAATCCACAAATCCCAAGGACTTTGCATCTCGTTATACAACACAGCAGTCACGTGGGTGCTGGTCATTGGTTTGGTCATTGCACACTGCTTATTTTGAAGCAGGGACTTTGTAAAGATGCCTTGGGTATGTATGCATCTAGCATGTAGAAGCTGCAATAGTCGTGCTTGCACACATGGTCTTCAACCTAAACATGCCTGGCCCTGGCAGAACCCAAACCTGGCAGGTAATTATTGCAGTTCTTATGTTCATGATGTGGTCCAGAACAATCGGGGTTGACTACGAGAATAAGAATTGAAAGGAGCCTTTTTTGGGAGCAAAATTAATGAGTGGGAGGAAGTGAACCAGAAAGAGTGCAGTGAAGGTATTGCAGGAGGCACAGCAGTGTGAGAACCTCTGCTCACCTTATCTCCAGTTATTGGAACACGAAGGGTGGGCAAACAGCAAATTAAATGATAAGCAGCCGCCACGCAGTGCTCTGCATGAAGCACAGAGTTCACAGGCATTCGGAGCGAGGCGTTGTTGGTGTTCTCAAAGGACGGGCATCATTCAGCTGAAAGTAAATATGAACATCTACGAGCTGAGCTTTCAGAAGGATGATTGTCCACTGCTCTCAGAGCACAACCCAGCGTCCATCTCCTGGGGCTCAGGGGAGATTCCTGCAAGGTGCTCAGCACCTGGAAGCCAAGGGAGCGAGGGGCTGCGCTTACCCATAATAACCCCATCTGAGAGCAGCTGACTGAGACAGCCATGGCTGTGCCTGGGCAGGGAGGGGATCAGGAGGAGCAGAGAACAGCCACGACTTGCAGGCCAAGCAATAGTCGCCGCACAGCAGGTTCACCGTGGGCTTCTTGCATCCCCAACTTACCGGATCTGTGCTCCAGTTTACAAGAGGTGCTTTGGTTATTGTGTGACACAAAACACGGTAAGAAGCTCGCTCTGACCTCATCTTTTGCCCTACTTCCTTATCTTGGAATCTGATGCACAGTGCCATACTTGTTCTCCCACATAGTTTCCTTCAGTGCCCTCCTCGTGAGGACGGAATCACAGAGCGTTGCTTCGTGGGGCAGCTGCACGGATCCCCAGGTGGGGATGCAGTTCAAAAGCGCTCCTTCAGCTGTCTCCCTTAAAGGCAAACTACACTAACAGGGATTGCACACCTGGAGCTGAACCAGAATCCTGGATGTGAGACCCCCACTCAGCTGGAAAGCGGCCCAGGGCTTCACACCAAGTCCAGTCAGCAGCGCTCTGCGTTACACTGCTCAGACTGCAGCAGAGCTCCTGGCTGCCCCAAGAAAGGATGTGAGCAATCCCTGACAAACTGCCTCTGATTCACTGAGGAACGACATAGCAAAAATCATTGCAGATAAAAAAAATGCTAAGCGTGGCTTCACTGATAATTTATCTAATGGCTGGGAAGAATGGGGTAATAGAAGGGAGACGAGAGAGAACAGCACTACATTGCTATGGAAACCAGGATTTTCAAAATAAATACCTTTGCAGAACTGAGGTTGCAGATCTAAAATAATCCATGGCGTCTCTGATGTTTCCTCCCTTTGCCATGAGACCCTTCCAGGCTGAGCAGCCTCTGCCTGCTGCAGAGATCAGCCTGCAGTGACATAGGATATCCCACGGCTCATGTTCCTTATTCCACTCCTGGGCCTTGAATAGAAACCACAGCGTTTGGTTTGTTCCTGTATTTTTGGGGCTTGCAGACTGGCGAGGTCGGTGCAGAATGAGCCCATGAGCACCTGCAGGGAAAGGTGTTGTTTTTGTCCCAGTACAGTGGGACATTCCTCGGTGACCCGAGACAGTACAATACATACAGCAAACCTTTGTGAAGCTCTGCTTCCCTTACATCCTAGGAAGCTCCTTACCCCACCAGTGACCCCAAAGCAATTACCATTGGGCCTTTTGCTCCCTGTTAGCCCCGTTTCAGCTGCTGACATCCCCGATGGCGTTTGGGCAAAAGGACACCGTGCCCCACACCTCCCACACCGCCTCGCTGCTGCTGCAAACAAGTCTGGGCTCCGGCAGTGCTGACTCACGGTGCTGAGGCTATGGGAAATATTTGCTTAAAGAAGCAAAGCCAGGCAGGTTTCCTGCCCCTCCTTATCTGCGAGCCCCTCGTACGGCAAAGCTGGAATGGGGCCCTGCTTCCTGAGAGGGGGCACGGAGCGGGTGCTTGTTTCCTAAAGATAGCCCAGGTTCCTCTCGGCTCCTCGGGATAAAGCCCCCAGCGCTCGCAACCACAGCTCTACGACTGCAGAGAGACGAACGGCTGCCGGGTGGGCTGCCCTGATACAGCATCGCCCACCGCAGCGCGTTCCCCGCCCCTCCGTGGGCACAGAACCCGCTCTTCCCCACAGCTTTCCCCGAGCTGCGGCTTCGCTCCGACCGCTGCCTTCAGCGCAGCTGAGTCAGTGCAGACGGCAGCAATCGCTGTTTGCTTTGGGAGGGTTGGCCGCGCACCGGGACGCGGGCAGGCAGCGCCGGTGCAAGGGATGGTTTGGTGTGGGCATGTCGGCACAGCGAGCTGGGAGCCGAGCCCGCCCGGAGCTCTAGGGACAGCAGTGGGGAGCTGTGCTGTCGGACCGGAGCCGCTCTGGGTGCTGTGCCTGTGTTAGCGCGCTGCTGCGCCTCAGCTAGGAGCCGCATTGGAGCCACGCGCCAAGCTGACCGCCCAGCGCATCCCCAGCTCGCCTCCCCCTGGGAAATGGCCTCCTGTCGGCAGTGAGCATTTAGGGAAACAACCACAGCTGATGCCCACGCCGTTCACGTGGCAAATGACTTCAGAAACCCTCAGCAGCGAGGAGACTTTATGAGGGGTGGGACAGGCGAGTCGCTGAGCTGCCTCCTCCTCCCAGGACCTACGCAATTCATTTGCAAAGAAGCAGAGGGTGACGAGCTCCGTTTGCAAGCTGGGCAGGGCAGCCCAGGGAGCAGCTGTGGCAGGGCAGGCTGCGGGCAGAGCTGGGTTGCAGAGCTCAGAATGACTGTGCTAAAGGTCTGGGTAACGAGCCGGCAGGAACTCCCACAGCCATCCAGCGCCAACCGACAGTGCAAGTCGCCTTTCCTCCGCTCTCTCTTATCTCCCTAGGCAGGTGAATATAAATCTTTACAGTGCAGCACAATGCTGGAAGAGCGAGTTGGGCTGAAGACCTATAAACACCCCCTGGGCTCGCTTCTATCAGCTGGAACCTGATGTGGAAACGTTCCTTGAGTTCATGCCCTTGGATTATACTAAAAAAGGCAAAGTCCTGCTGCACCTCGAGGACACCTAGTGCTGGAGCGAGAGAACAGAGGGCAGCTACAGAACAGGAGAAGTGTGCTGATGAGCCCAGGTGCTGGGTCAGCAAGACAAAAGCAATATATTTAGGTATCTGTGAGGCGTGATCAGAAGATCACATGCAATGCCTCAACTCTTAACGCCCCATTCAAACTGGCTTTGATATAAAACACCGCTCACCAAAGCGATGTCCCCTAGCAGGCTCATCACACCGGGGTTTCTTGCACCTCTTATCCCTATCGGAGACTGCAAATGGGCAGAGGGAACAGATGCAGCTGTCCCTTGGCCACTGCGTGCCCCAGCGCATGGCTTTCACTCTCTTGTGCCTCTGCCCCTATCACAAATGTCTTTTATAATGCAGGGAGAGCAAAGAGCTACCATAAAACAGAGACAGCTGACATCAGCAGCAGGCTGCTCCTTGCAGACCGCAGCTGTTAGGCGATGGTTGCACAGACTGAGGAGGGAGCGAGGTCATCCCAGGACAGGTGAACTAAGAAGTTAAGGAACTATTAGATCATGCCCCATACATAGCAAGCAGCTTATCATGATGGGGAAGCAGCCTTTGTTTTTAGATTAATCACTTCGAGGACGCTGGCTTCCATCTTGCACTTCCTTTTTATCAGCGCTTTGTTTTAAGAAGCTATAAACCAGAGGTAGGGACACAGCTAGAGAGAACTGCAGCCAGACCACCACGTGTCACAGGGCACGAATTGAGGCCACAGCCCAAAACAACGCTGCAAACAAAGCCAGCACAGCCTCCCACTCCCCCCCTGCGCATTAACTGCACCTGTATTTTATTTCATGTATCAGCTCTGTGCCGCACAGCCTGGGAGAACCCATCTGAGCTGCGATGCGCTGCACCAGGCTGCCAAGCAAAGCGTTCACACGTCAGCAGAAGCCACGTTACCCCCAGAGGCACAGGGCTGTGTTCAGTACCTAGAAGGATGGAGAATGCAAGGCACAGCACTGCGTTCTGCAGATTGCAGCCACTGCCAGCAGCCCTGCGGTGTGCTTTTCTGCTGCTTCTGGCTGGCTAGTGGATGACAGGGGCTCTGTGAACACCCCTCACCTTGTCTGTGCTGAACACTGCTGGGACTGCTCTGCTGACATGCAGATGGCCACCACACCTCCAGGCTGGAGGGGCCTCCAGCACCATTGGGCTGCACTGCTGCAAGGGTTCTGCTGGCTCCAGCAGCGCCGTCAGAAACATCTGCCCGTGCCACAAAATGTTCTTTCTTATTGGCAGCTTATTTGCTCTCCCTTTAGTTTGAGAGAACAGAACTCTGGTGCTGTTACCCTGTTTATGGTGCTTCCTCAAAGAGAACCTGTGGATCTCTGCCCTCCATCCACAACGTCGTTACAGCGACGTTGGCTCAGCGTGAAGATCAGATCATAAATGCAGAACAGCTGCTTAAGCAGAACGTAGGAAAGAAGCAGGGATGTTGCTGGGCAGAGAAAAGCACTGCTAGAGCTCACAGATAGCCTCTTTTCTCCAAAGGCACATGCGCACTGCATCGCTCAGTCACATTTCTCTCCAGCTTCCTGGTAGCAGCATCAGCGTGTTCAGTCACCTCTGACTGCTGCAGGACTCTGTCCCCATCTGACAGCAATGACCTGGCCTCAGGTTTTCACCATTTTGTCACCTCCTCCCTCCCTTTCAGCCCCATAAAATCACTAGACATGAAAGCTGCAGCACAAAGGAAATCCTTGGCAGCACCGCCTGCTGCAGCGCAGCTCCCTCAGCAGCACAGGCGGCTGCAGGCAAGGCAAACCTCTCCTAACCTACATTTGATTCCCATAGCATTGCAAATCAGGCTCTGCCAAACCTGGCTGAGGCTCCTCTCCGCAGCCAGAATCGCACACACAACAGATTGAAGGGCCTGAGGACGGTGGGAGCAGCTTTTCTCCTTGTTTACCAGCTCTACCTGCACTGAAGGCAGCAGTGCTCCCATACCACAATTACCTTGAAGAAAGGAGCTGACCTGCCAGCTATTTTTAGTGGTGCTGTGAAGTCGTGAAGCTATTTTGCTCACATCTCCGCACGGTGAGCTGCAGGACGCTGACAGCTCTGTGTTTGCCTGGGGCAGCGGGGCTTTAGCTGTGAATGGGAACGGCGTGTGACTTTGCACTAAGGCCTCTCTGCCCTTTCTGTGCCATAAGAATCTTTATACCGAGATTTTTCTTTCTAACCATTTTGGGAACAAGCAGCACAACTTCCTGAACTCCGCAGGGATCCCTTTTGGGGCCTCGTGTTGTTCTCCTCCTCCGGCCTGCGCAGCTTCCAAGGCTGCAGAAGGTGCTATTGATACTGTGGGAGCCCTCACTCCCATTTGCCTTACTCACCGGGAGGCTAAAGGTGCAATTAGGAGTCCACAAAGATTTTATCCATCTTTTGCAACAGACCTGTGCAGGAGATCAATACGCATCAAGCCAGCACCTGCTGAGAAACCAGCACGTGTGATTCTGCAGAGGCAGAAGGGAGAGCAGAGAGGAACCGCTCGCACAGCAACGCGCTGTTCTGGATGCAGATAAGTGCCTGGGTACGTCCAGGGCAGCAGGCAGAAGGTCCTGGTCTAGACAGTTGTTTTCTCTGCAGAGCCAAAGGGTTGCTGCCAAGTTTGCTGGGGCTGTAGCAGGTGCAAAGCCCAGGCAGAGCAGAAGCCAAAGCAACTGGATTTAACAGAACGAAACCCACATACAAAAGGAAGCTTGAAGAATAGGAAAGACGAGGCTAACAAAAGGAGAGAAAAGTAAAAATGGGAACTGGTGTGTTCAGACAGGGATGTGTGAGTCAGACACATCAAGGAGGAGCAAGTGAGTAAACATGTATGTGAGTTTTTAAACAGCTGTCAGTCGTCCCTCCTCAGAAAGCTCCTCTCAGGACTGCTGCTGTCTCCAGATAGAGCACGTGCCTTCCCAGCTCTCTTCAAACAGACACATTAACACCACAAGCTTCCCACGCAGTGAGAGGAACCAGGATGTCCTCAGCCCCAAGTCCAGCTCATGTCTTCTTTTTTCCCTCCCTGACTTTCTTCCAGAGGCTCTGCAAGACTTCTCCCACCCAAACCCACAGCCTGCTCCTAAGGTGCGCTGCTCCTTCCCCCAGTGGATGCAACAAGCACCTGGCTTCTGAATAACACAGCCCACATCTCTCCTCCAGTGCAGGACCAGCACCCACTGATGGCACAGACTGTCCCCAACGCTTCTAAACAAAGACCTGATTGATTTCAATGCCTTGCAGGATGAGCTGTTTTAACTCATCTGGTCTTGGACAAAGACCAGTGTACATTAGGAGGAGTTTAGTAAGAAATCCACTTGTTTTTTGTGAATACGTAGAGATGGCATAGCCAGAATAATGGCATTTAATACATTGTTATTTGGTCAGGACTGCTGCAGACTCAGATGAGTCCAGCAGCTGCCTGTCAAGACGTGTTGGGTCAGAAAGCTCAGTGAAGAGTTCTGCCTGTAGTTCACTCCTTTGAACAGTTTATCTGCCTATCTTCTGCTTTACCACTAGTGTCATCACTCCTGCCCAATAATTATTTAATGAAGATTTCATATTGCCATCTCCACACTGCAGGATGGGAAACGCACTTGAAGTACGCCTTCACCTGTTCTGTTCTCTGGTATGGAAGCAGCAGACACACAGCAACAAACTGCTCACAGCCAGAGGTCGTCCAGCAATGGTGCCATTCAGCCACGGCACACAACGCCTTCTGCTGACAAGTGCAATTGGTCAGGTCTCCTCTAGGGAGTGCAGTCGTAAAGGGAGAAGAGGAAACTGCAGCACAAAAGCCAGCTGGTAATGTGTGACTCAGGATATTGGCACAGTCACAAATGGTGTCTGCCCATTTCATGTCGAAAACGGAGAGCAGTGGTGAGGGCTGAGCCGGAGGTAAGAGCGGGATGTCACTGGATGCCCCCGGTGAGCTTCATACTGGAAAGAAAAGTCTTCTGAGATATTAAAAAAAATTATCCAAGATGTAAATCAAGCAATGAAACTTCAAATATCGACCAAAAAAACCCACCAGTTACAGCATCACACCCTGCAGGTGGCTGCAGCACAGCCTGCACTGCTATGGGCGCTCCATCTCCTGCCCTTCACACCCCTCAGATCACCCAGTGAAAGAAGCTCAGCCTCCAAATATCATTCAGACCTTGGCCTCCATGCAAGGAGCTGCAAAGACTCATTCCCAGGACTTGCCTTGCTTTGCATGTATCACACATCTTGGTCCTAGAAAACGGGCAGAGACACGAGCTTATTGCATGCTGGAATCACACAGCAGGCAGGCAGACAGCTGCAGGACCTGGCTGCTCCTGGTGGCAGGGAGTCCTGCAGGAAAAGACACAAAATGCTGCCTAGTTCCTCCTCGCAAATCCCCTGCGTGCCTCAACTGTAAGACCACCAACACCTTCCTTAAGGAAGCACCAAAACACGAACCAAATCCTCGTGGATCCTCAGAACATTCACCAAGAAGAACCAGCATTCCCAGGCACAAGAAAGAAATGTAAGGAATGCAAGAACAACACTACCATCCACCTGAGGCAAAGGGCAACAGAACAGACTTGCTAGGTAACAGAGCCGGTCTGCAGCTCCGTGTGAACCACATTCAGTCAATGCCAGCTCTATCCTTGTCTGAGGAGCTGTGTAACAGCCCATGGCAGAAGACAGAGACCCTGAGCACAAGCTCTGTGTTCGGCCAGCAAGCACCAGCTGAAGAAGAATCATCTGATGCCTAAACTGCTGCCTCCCACTTTTTGTCTCACCAGCACACTACTTATCTCAGCTACATGTGCGAGGTACCACAAGTTAATTCACTCCTCCATTCCTTTCATTATAGATCCTCCTGCTGTTTTTTCACCTGTCTCCCTCCAGCTGCACGCCAGCAGCCCTGTTGTTCCTCTGTCAGTACAGCACGTCAGTAGAAGCTGTGATAAATAAAAAGGAGCCATCAGCTCCTCCTCGCCCTTGCAAATAAAGGAGCTTCTCCTCCCTGACCCATCTACTTCTATATTTTCTATCAGTTGTGATGTCCATCGCTGTCTTGAAAAGCTACAGGTGCTTTTTAACAGAGGCAAGGGAAAGGCAGCCTTAGCCTTTAAAGATCATCAGAAACACGCAAGAATTTTCACGGTAATTTCTGGTGCAGGCACATCTGATCTCCACGGGGAACACTCATGCTGTGTGCATCACCACGGTCCCTCCACCTCTTTAGGATTCCCACTCTGGATTACAAGCTACCTTCACACAGCAGACGTTGAAGCTTCCAATGAGGTCACACAGGCGCTGACAGGCGCTGATGGGTGAGTCATGCTGCAGTAGCCAGAGAGACCAGCAACAGATTTGTTCATCTGCATGCAGCCTAACCCTTCTTCTGGTCTAAAATCTTATTCCAGAATGAAACACGGTGTGTCACAGAGAGGTGATTGCAGAACTGCTGAGGGACAGGGCCATCATTACACAGGTTTTACAGATTAGGAGGAGAATCAGTTCCAAAGAGTACATTTACAACATCATAGAATGTGTTGTTTTACTTGTAAAATGCAAGACCGGGATCCACTGGGTCAATGGGGGAACAGCTCATTGCAGCTCACTGGCAAAGCAGGCGTGCTAATTAGGAAAGTAAGAGTCCTCCTAGGAAACATGCTCAGTGGTTTAAATCACCACCTCCAGCAAGCTGCTCTTCTGGGGGATGCTGCCCTGGACCAGGGTCAGCAGGCACAGAACAAACTCTTCTGCTGGCTCTGCTACGGGGAAGAAAGCTGTGGAGCAGCACCAGACCTGCAACATCTCAAAGTGCCACAGCAAAATTCAACAGAGCTTGTTCATGAAAGCTTTGTAAGGGTGGACACAAAACTATGAGAGAAGGAAAAAATTTATATATAGAGTGTTGTAGCCCCACTGCTACAACGTTGTATTAAACTTTCTAAGCAGAGAAATAATTGTTTAATACTTCTATCCAGTAGACAGGGCGAGCGACAACTGCCAGAGGGCCAAGTGACACATGGCAGCTTCTTCTGGAGAAAGAAAACCACCTGAAGATTGCATGATTATAACGAGTTTCTTGGGACAAATTTCACACCGTTAGTCACCTTTCATCCCTCAGTGCCACAGGCCTCTCTGTATCCATCCATCCACAGACCAGAACCAAGACAAGAGTCTCTTCCTGTGCTGTTTCCTTCCATCAGTTATTCCTCCAGGCCAAGAATGAACTGGTATTCTTCCAGTGCATGCTAGCATTGGTGCATCACAACAGGACAATTGCTGACAGCCACCTAAACAGCACGCAGGTGTTGGAGACAGAGAAGCACGAGGACATCAGAACTGGAGGTGCTGCTCAGATGAAGATGCAAGGCTTCATGCTGAACCTGGTGGAAGGACACACACTGCCAGCACTTCTCAGACATCAGCTGCCTATGGGAAAAGAACGTGTGCATTTAACTCCAGGCAATTCTTACTTCTTACTGCGGCAGCACTTCATGGATCTGGCCAAAGTCAATGAACTTGCTTTTATTTGGGCAAATTCTTCTGCTGCAAAATCCAGAAGAACTGTCTCCCAGTTTTAGTTTCAGCCCAGATAAATGGCCCTGATCCCATCCTGAGCCACAAGGCAAACCTGTGCAAGGCCACACGGGTCAGCAGTGCTCCCCTCAAGGAGAAACTTACAGGATTCACCCAAGACTTACCTCAGAAATAAGTTCATTTGGCACATATGTCATAGGCTTGTTGTTAGTCTCTCACAGAGAAGGGTAAAAATCTCTGGGTGTCCTCAAGTTACACAGTTTATGAAAGAAATCAGAGGAAAGTAACATGGTAAAAAGAGAATCTTTCCAAGTTCTAATAACGCTCCCAAAGAAATGCATTGCAGAGATCCTTCCATCCGGCCTTCTCCAGCAGAAGACAAGCCTACCTAGAGCCCCTTGGGAAGCTGACACAGATGCAAGTGGCACACTGGCACTTATTTGCAACTGCCCAGCGTGCCAGCTGCTGAGGAAGGAAGAGCTGTTGAGTCAGAGGGCAAACCAGTCTTCCACTTCTGTCTGGTTGCCCCGAGGGCAGAGTGGGACAGTCAGAAGGCCGAGATTCTGCTCACTGCTTCCCACAGGACCTCGGTCACTACTTCCTCCTCCTGTGTCTCTTTCCCCTTTTCTTCATGGACACCACTGCTCTCTTGAATCACGGGACAACCAGAAGCAGACGGCAAAGAGCAATCCTATTTCTCTGTTAAAAGGTAGGAGTGCAGTGCAGTATTGTTATTTTCTTATAATACAAACGTGGTTGTGTAACAGTGTTGGTATTGCTTCATTTCTGTCATTATGACAAACTGCCAGGACACTGCCTGATACAGGTTGTTATGATTTGCTTTTGTAGGGCTATTTCATCTATTCTGACCAGCCTTTCTCTAGAACATGTCTTTCCTGTATAACTCTGTAAACCACGATAATGGTCTGAGCTACGACTGGAATGATGGCACGTTTGATGAGCAAATGAAAGAAAGCAGTTCCTCACTTGTGCATTGCACAACTATTTATGTGCTAAAAGACACGACTGCTTATCTTTACAAGCAGAAAACAAGGTGAAAGTTGGTTTCTAAATCAGGGCGTAACAGAATCATAAGAGTTTCATAAAATGGTAAAAAAAAAATATGTATATTTGGGTAAATTACATTCTGCTTATACAATGGCAAATTTCCTAGAATGGAAGCAGAGACAACTGTGATTCATAACTGCAATTATAATTAATAACCAAATTTCATTGGTTCGGGTTCCGTGATTTATTCTGAAATTTACATTTGCTCTCTTAAGAAAGGTCAGAGTAGAGCAGTGTGGGGACTGCAGGCTAAGGAAGGTACGACTGTGATTACAGCAGCTGAAACTGCCCTAATCACACTCTTATCTGCCTTATCTACTGAGAGTATTTATTTAGCAGTGATTACTGAGCCAGGCCCCATCACTCCCAGTTAGTTCTGAAGCAGCTCCTTAGTGTTGTAAGAAGTTTATACTGCAAGAGGCATTGCTGTTCTGCTGAGACAGACAGCCGAGCTTCCCATCACTTAAAGTCATTTAAAAAAATAAACCATGACGCTCCTAAAGAAGCAGGGGTGTCAACCCCACTGCACTGGCCAAATTCCCAGCTTGAGTAATTACAACGAGCCTTGGATAAATTCTTGCCACAGCTTCCGCTGGACACGGTATTGTTCACGACTTCCTCTCCTACAATATCATGCAGTGCTGATGCACACTCTGTACAGGTCCTGTCTGCACTGCAATGCTGTCTGGGTCTACCCCCAGCCCAGGTCTGCAGCAGCACACTGCAGCAACGCACTGAAACCAGTTCTGCCTGTCAGCTGAACCGCCGTGCAATTTGTAATTTCTATTTACTGATGTCCTAGCACCTCCTTCAGATGGTGCTAATGTATACAGCTACCTGATGGCTACACCGGTGCGGATCCAAGATGCAGGCATACATAAACTGGTTTAGTTCCTTAAAACAAAAGCTAAATTTGCATCAGTCAGTTTGCAAACTGAGCTAAGCTGATGTAACATCCTAGGTGCCCACTGCAATTGGCTGACAAGGCAGTAAGAGCATGCCTGATAGGTCAGGCCTAGGCAGCCCTGTCAGACATGCCCAGTTCAGCTGGCAACAGCAAACAGTGCCATTTTTATAGGCCTGCTACTTAACGATGTCTGTAGACTTCTTCTGTGCTGGTGGGATACAGACAAAACTGTTTACTTTTGAAGTGGTCACTGAGCACTTATCAAACCCATATCTATTGTGTTAAACAAACGACCTGACAGTTCATACCAAGGCATTACCCACGTTTTTTCCAGCAGCTACCACTACACCCCAAGGCTTTTTACTTAGAGATACCGTTATCTTTTTTTTACGTGCATAATAAAGGGAGCCCAAACTCTCTGTTAGGGTAGCTCTATGTACCTCACTGACCCAAGCTTTCACCCTCATAATTTGTGAGCTTCAAACACACCTTGGCTGCAGAAGTACAAGACCAAGATTCAGAAGGTCTCGATCCTTAATTCCACCTTAGGGCCGCATGGGCAGATCGCTCCTCACCGCTCCATAGGCTGCAGAAACCAAACGATGCCACTAATTTAACAAAGACAAGAAAAGAAAACAACTGCACAGACGATGCCGAATAGATCCATATTAAATGCTACTGTTGAAAATACAAATAGTGACGTTTCCTACTACACACTCCTTTCCCCACAAGCACGTCTCCAAACCCATAGTATTTTTTAAAAGACAGAAACTCCAGTTTCAGGAAGTGGACGGCTTTATTTTTGTGCCATTCCAAAAATGCCTTTTAACTTGTCAAACGATACGCTACAAATATCTTTGGCAGATGAATAAAACCAAGTTTCCTGTCATAGCTGCCAACTTCAAGGTTGAGATAATCAGATAAATCTTTAGTTTGCCTTCCCCAATACTTACAACAACATATGTTTGAAGCGATCCACGTTCGTCTTGCTTTTCCTGACGGGATTTGAGAAGGCAAAGTACCAGACCACGGTGTGACACATTTGAGTCACAGGAGATGTGGTCCACAACTGTTCCAGTCACCCTCTGTTTGCAGCTTTCCTCAGGTTTCCCCTATCCCAGGTTAGGGGCAATAATCCCAGTAGAACCATCTGCTCGTTTAGAGGTAAAAGTGAAGGTTGGATAAATGGTCTCCAGTACCACCTTGTAAACAGGGCCTCCCAACGGTACAAAATACCTTTGTAGGACAACAGGAGGAAGTTTGCTGTGCTCGACTGCAGCAGCACCATTAATGCTGGGTTTACAGAATTGTATTATTTCATTCTGGGGACACTTCAAATGTTTGTGGGGTACCTGAGAGCACTTCCTTGGTACATAACCCTGAATGTAAGGGTGAAAGTGACACCTAAGAGCACGCCTTTTGCAAGCTGTGCGTCTTATGCCATTGTTCCTATTAATTCATTGTCAGGATGTCAGTAAAAATGGTTATTTTGATGATTCTTTGCCCCCATAGTTCTGAAAGGGAAAGCAGCTATAAACACAAGGGAGTCTGACCTCAGCGATTTCCTCTGTTCAGACAGGAGCACAATGCACTTAAACACCACGACAAGGAGACTCGGACTGTTTAGAATTCCTCCAGCTGTAATCTATAGCAAAAACAAATAAACAAATACATGACTATGAGACATGATAATTAATCCCTGCACGAAGCCAACTGCTATCTCGAGCTCCTAGACAGAGAATCTCAAAGACACCAAGGTTCCACAACCGAGCAGGTTCAAAATCTATCGGTTCAAAACCTATGGGTTTTGAACTTGGCAAACAGGAAAGGGCAGCTCGGGGGGCTGCGTGCCCAATGCGTGGGGCTTTTATCCCCCTTTCTGTCCATAAACCAGACACGGTTAGGCTCAGGCAGCTCGGACTCACAGGGTTGGCCAACAGTTGCACAACGACCAAGGCGAGCTGACAGCTGCCACCACCTCCTGGGGCCGCGGCTGGCAGGCGTGACCCACCGCCCCATCCCAGCCCTGCCTCACCCTTCATCTCCTCACCCGTGTCTCCTTTCTCCCCCAGGACCCAAACGTTTCCCCATTCCCACCCAGCTGTGATCCATTCCCCCCCCACAACACAACGATACGACGGACACGAGCCCTCCGCGCATCCCCCCCCTCCTCCTCGCTCCTCCACCTCAGCACGAGGGACCCGAGGCCTCGCCGTCCCCTCACGCCGTCCCCCCTCACAGCCCGGCCCCGCCCCGGCCTCCTCCCGCCGCTCCTCCCGCGGAGGGAAGGAAGGAGGGAGGAGGGCGGCGAAGTCTCGCGAGAGGGGCGGGCGGGGGCCGCTGGCTGCGGGCAGCGCGGAGCGGAGCGGCGGCGGAGCAGCCCGGGCGGCGCTGAGGGGAGGAGGAGGAGGAGGCGGCGGCGGCAGGCGGCGGCCATCCCGGCGCGGTGCGGCCGACGGACCCCCGCTCCGCCGCGCTCGGAGCACGGCCGGCTCCGCCCGCCCTCCCGCACCGCGTCGCGGCCTGGCGGCGGGGCCCGGCGGCGGGCGGCGGCGGCGGTGCCGGAGGCGCCGGAGGCGGCTCGGCCTGCCCTGCCATCTTAGGAGCCGTGCCACAACGCCTTTGTGCCCGCCGCGCCCGGGCACCCGGGGGGGGCCGGACCCGACGCCCCTCCGGGGGCGCCTCCCCCCGCGGGGCCGCCGCCCCTTTGCCCCGCTCCTCCTCCTCTCCTCCTCCTCCTCCGCGGGGGGCCGAGCGGCGCTCCCAGCCCGGCTGCGGCGGAGGGTAAGGCGGGCACGGCGCGGGGGGCTCGGCCGGGGCGGCGGGGAGAGCCTCGGGGAGGGGCGGGAGGAGGAGGAGGATGGGGACGGGGGGGATGATGGGGATGGGGGGGGGCCGGTGCCTCCCTCCCCCGCCGCGCTCTGCGGCACTGCCGCAGGACTCCGCGCCGCTCCCGGCCCCGAGCGGCGGAGGGCGGCGGGGGAGGAGGAGGAGAAATGGCGCTGCCGGCTGCTCCGCGCTGACAGCGGGCCGGCCCGGGATCCGCGCCGCTCCGCTCGGAGGCGGCGATGCGGCCCCGCTGCGGCCTGCCCGCACCCCGCCTTCCCGCAGTGAGCTGTTGGATGATCGCCGCTGGGTTGTTGTTTTTTTTTTTTTTTAATGACTTCTAGGGGGTAAATACCGTTTTGTGCGGCGCTGCTGTGGGATTTGGAGGAAAGTGACCTATTTTAAAGACCTTTTTTTTTTTTTTTCCCTCGCTTCCCCCACCTCCCCCCACCCCCAGCCCCCCCCATCGGCCGATCCCGTTAGCCAAATAGCGTTCCCCGACCATTTTAACGTGTCAGATGAAAGCATCTCGTCCAGGCTCTGCCTCTCCGCACCCCGCGTGGGGAGAACGCGAGCATCGCCGGGCCCTTCGGGTTCACCTTTGTGAACGGCGGAGATACGGAACGGTGCAGGAGAACCATTGTGCTGGGCGCGGTGCGAGGGGAGCCGCGGTAAAATGGTTGTTGTCAGCCGCGGGGCTGGGGGAAAAAAATGACAGAACGGCGTCGGCCTGTAGGACTCCCGCCGGTTTGTCTCGGTGTCGTTATTTCGGCAGGCTGTGTGATAACCAGTTGAACGCATCGCGTCCTTCACCTCCGCCTGGTGAGGTTTGAGGGCCCCGCGTGGCAAGGGCAGATTGCTGAGATGTTACCTGAAGGTTTGGCTGCTATTGATTCCTTACTGTTAAGGCTATTTGTGGAGCGTGGGACGCGGCTCTTGTTTTGTGTGTTTGGATAAAGGTTATCGGCTTGGAGTGCTTCGGATGAAACGTTCCCAAAATACCATCCCTGGTGTTACATGTAATGTTGAATGGTACGGCTCGGATCTCCTGAGAAATGCCGGTCGTGGTGGCACACCGTGATGCTGAAAATACCGTGGAAAACCAGGCTGTATTTTGACACTGGTGAAAGCTTGTCTTCCTGTTCTGCGATTACAAAATAACAACTTTTGTTGCAGGAAGCAGGATTTTAAGATACATGTTTCTTCAGACCCGGTTTGTTTCTGTTGCCCCTTCCTGTAGTAGTGTGTCTGTTTTTTGCTGCTGGCATCTCAGGGCAGACCTCATCAGCCCGGGTTGGGCCCTCCCATTGGATTCCCCATGGCATCCGCCTGCCTCTGCTGGTTCCTTTGCCGTCTGTAGGACCCTCTTCCCTTTGTCTGTTGACTCAGACATACTGATGAACTTGAACCTCAATGTATCCCTTGAACTTGAGGGATGTTTTTCTTCTCCTGTGTTAAGGATGTGCTGCTAAAGAGAAAATGATTGCGGTAGAACAGCTTAAATTACATTTAATCTCATTGAAAAAATATCTAAAGTAAAAGATCTTTGGATAGTTTGCTTATTATTATTACTATTATTGTTATTTTGCCTTTAACTGGGCTAATGTTAAGTGCTGCATGGAGGGGACCGGAGTTACAATTATATACAGAGAAGGTGACTTAGGCCTCAAGTTCGACTGTTGGAAGAAGTTATCTATCGTGTCCTCCCATTAGATTCTGCTGTAGGTGAGGTTGGAGAATGTTAAACGTTTACTTCCATGTAAATAACATTCCCATTTGTGCAGCTTCCATCTTTGCCTGACCCGATGTAATTCATCAGGTCGTGTCACTGCAGTGACGTATTTTTGATGTGTTGTGAGGCAGCCCAGGTTTGTGCGCATGGTGAACGGAATCAGAAGAGAAGCAAATATCACACTAATAATTACATCTTCAGATGCATCCTACTGGTGGATTTCCTGTAACCAGGATGTGTTGTAGAGAACAATAGACGTGGCAAAGAGTTCAGAGAGCCATTTGAAAGAGTCTGGAGTAGCTGAGAGCAGTGGGGTTCCACCTGGACGCAACCTGCGTGGTTCCATCAGGTGCCTCACATACATCGCCTTCCAATTCTCTTGTCTAGCAAAGGAACACTGTGCTGCTGCTCTCGCCCTTCTGTGAGGCTGTACCTCTCTTCTTGCTCTGTAGAGGCTACAGAATATTTGCAAAATATTCCTCATGTGGTTTATTTAACAGAATATTTTGTCCTATGAAAGGTTGAGGGCTGGTCTGGGTCTCCATGAACCAGGAAGTGGTAAAGAAGCTGTGATAAATATCCTCTAGGAACTCCTCTAGGATACAATCTTAGTAATCATGCAGGTGTTTTCTGGTCGTAATAAGATCACATTGAGAGCACATATAACGTGTGGAGGTGCACACCAGGAGCCCTGAGGATCCCTGGCTGTTGCTGCTGTCAGCAGTGATGCAGGCTCTTGTCCTCTGTATTACAGTGGCCATCAGCTGTCTCCTGTTCAAGCATGCCATGGGGTCAGAGGGCTTTTTGTTGTTTCCTCACTCAAACGTGGTCAGAGGGGAAAGTTTCACTTCAGCTCTGGAGGAGAGGCACAGCTGCACTGCGCGGTTCTGCTGCGCCCGGCGGCAGGGCTCGGTTGTGGATGACTTTGGTGTCCTCCCTTGGCTAGCCATTGTGGCAGGATGGGGTGCCTTCATGCCTTCTGGGCTGGTTGGCCGTCCTGCCTGCTGTCACTTGTGAACACAACCTCTGCCTTCCACAAAACGCTCTGCTTGGTGCAGAACAGATCTCCGTGCTCTTCAGTGGGCTCCCGAGGCCCCAGAGGTCCATTTTGTTGCAAGGCCCATCCTCCGCCCTCTGTCCCACGTGTGTCCCTGCAGTGACTCTTCTCTTTGACCCTGCACTGAGCCCCTTCAGCCCCAGCAGCAGAGAGCAGACCCAAGGAAACATCCAGTGATGTTGTGCCGTTTTGGTGAGCTGCAGCAGGTTCGTGAGCTGCTGGGCGAGTGCTGGAGAACCCCAGCACTGAGGTGGGTTTGTGCAGCCATGGTTTGACTAGAGAAATGCTTGGAGATAGGTGGCTGTTGGTGGCACTTTTCCCAGAATACGTGGCAGCTGGGTTTGGGGATTCTTTGTTCTCGTTGCTCTCTAATGGGCTGAGGAGATGCTCATCGTACATTGATTTCTGCATGGAGAAGAGGCTAGAAAAAATTCATTGGATGGAGGGTCAGAAAACCACTAATCCCCTCATGTGAAGTTCCAGAGGGAGCTCAGCTGTGCAGAGCTGCAGCACAAAGAGTAAAAGCAGAACTCAAAATGTAGGAACATGAAATTAGAGGTGAAGTGCAAAGTGTCTGAGGGGAAAAGGAGCGCACGAAACAGGAGGAAAGGATGGAGAGCAGCTTAAAGCACAGTTGGCTTTTAAGCACTGTGTTCCTTCCTCCTTATCTGAGTGCTCATTTACAGCACAAAACATGGAGGAAGAAATACTTTCTGAAGGTCCTTTGAAACGCAGTAGGCATTGGGCAGCACAGTGGGTGCTCCAAACATGGGTTCTCAAAGCGTTTTTTCAAACAAATATTTGGTGATCACTGGAATTATAGGTTTTTTTGTTTGCTTTTTTTTCAATACCAAAGGGAAACCACTGAGAACTCGTAATACTTTGTCAGAAATTATTACACTGGTCACTCTTGACGTTTTTATTTTGCTTTTAACGTCCTGCTAAACCCTCCTGGTTTCTTTGGCAGAAGAAAAGGCAAGGTAGCCACTGTAAACACAGCGGGAAGCAGCCAAAGCAGCAATACGTTTTCTCTAAATAGAAAAGCCCCCCTGCTTTACTCGGCTTGCTGAGTTGGTTGGGCATCTACCTGGTAGCATGGAGGTGATGTCTCCCTTTTCTTGATGAGGATCAGTGAGGATGGCCCAGCAGACTGAGCACGAGATGATGGCTCCTTGATAGGAGTGGGCAGCAGGTGATACAGTTTTGCCTGTTGTATTGCTTGGCTAGAAAGAGTTTTTATGTTCTCTAGAGGTCAGGATGGGGTGACAGCATGAGAGTTCCGTATTAGATATTGTCCTTTGAGAGGAGAAGAGCAGAAGTGTTTTGTTTGGGGGAAAACTTAGACCTCGAGGAAAGCAGGAAAGCAGCACAGCGCTGGGAGCTGGCACGCTCTGCAGTTCTCTGCGCTGTCATCTTCTGCTGACCCCCGGGGTGGCCCTGCCTGCAGCCATGCTGATGTTCTCTGTGTGTCAAACGTTCCCTCCTCCACTCGTGCAGTTGGTGGGACGGCCTTCTGTCAGAATGGGGGGTCTGTGGGTTTGCTCCAAAGCTCTTGCTGTGCATGCGGGAAGTTGAGTCACATTTGAAAAGGAGATTTTGATATTTAATGTTAGTCTCAGCCATCCCTGCTTGTAGCTTTGCAAGCCAATGCGTAGTGCACTCGAATTTTTAAAATGTAAATAGAGTTGTTTTCAGTCTTTCTCTTCAGCTAAGCTAAAATCCCATTTTCTTCCCT